ACCCCGTTGCGCCAGCAACGGGGTCGGGGTTAACCGGAAAAAATCATAATACAATAGGTTGGGCAAGGGATTAAAAAAAAAAAAAAAAAAAAAAGACGGGTGACACATACCGGTCATCTTCTTCGGTCCACATCTTGACAGTGGCTGTCATGAGAATCTCACCGAACTTCTGGACCTCCTTGGCAGGCTGAACCTGAAGGGGGAGACCAGGCTGCCACTTGGGCATCTGGCCATTCTCTTCGGCGATAGCAAAGAGCATAGCGTATGAGCGATGCAGAGTGCTGATGGTGCTCTTGCGAACACCCTCGTAAGGGTGCTCACACAAGGGCATCACATGCTCAATGGTCTTCTCAAAGTAAGGCAGGAAGGCGCTGCGGGTGTGGGTGACGAGGTCACCGATGACCTCAACAGCAATCTCCTTCTCGAGGGAAAGAGGTGTGGTGGCGGTAATGTCATCCCACTCGTCCTCGTCTTCGAGATCAATATCCTCGATATCACCATCATCCTCATCGTCAGCACTTGCGACCTTGACCTTGCGGCCATTGAAGGTAACCTCCTGTCCAACAAGGTCCTTGGCAGCACTGCCGAGATCAACATCAAGGTCGCTCTCGTCCTGCTCGATGCAATCGTACAGACCCTTCACGACACCGTCAAGGAAGGGGGCGAAGTGCTCGCCGTAGACCTTGGCCATGGCACCCCAGAAGATGTATGTACTCTCCTTGAGACGGGAGTGACCGAGATGCAAGGCTTCCTCAGTGGCACGCATGAGGGGCTCAACGTACGGCTGGTAGCGTTCAGGACCAGCGGCGGCGGCCATCTCACCCATGGAGTCAGTGACACTGGCACGGAGATCGAGTTCATCCTCACTGTCCTTGACAGCAGCAAACTCCTGGAGGAGATGCATCGACTCGTCAAAGAATGAGAGGAAGGAGTCACCGGCAGAGGAGGCGAGGGAGCCAAGAGCACCGGCAGCAAGCGCCTTGATCTTGAAATCGGGGTGCTTGAAGAGATTGTGCAGGATAGGGACAAGCTCGGCCTGGTAAGGAGAAACATCCTTCTCGTCCAGACCATCAACAACAGCATCAATAGCACTGATACCGGCCTTGATAATATCGAGTGTAGGGCCTTCCTCCTCGCCTTTGTACTCTTGCATGGCGCTGGCCAAGTTCTGGAAGAGCAACGGCATGAGGCGAGCGTGCTCGGAACTGAGGTCTTCAACAAGATCCTCTGCAAGACGAGCGACAGTGTGTAATGAAGCCTGGCGCACCTTAGGGTCCTGATCAGCAAGGAGCTGGAGGACCATAGGGAAGATCTCCTTCATCTGGGTGCTGATGAAGTCGGGGGCACCCTCAACACACATGCCGAGGGCCATGATACCAGCGCGGCGGTAATCAGGATCGGGGCTGTTGAAGTACTGACCCAGCGCGTTGAGCAAGGGGACAACGACCTGGCTAGGAGGCAGGCTCTGGGAGAGCATGTCAAGTAGGCCGAGAGCAGAACGGGCAGGGGTGATATCATCATCACCAGGAGAGGCATCGCCAAGCTCGGTAACAATTTGGAGAGCAGTACGGGTGAGCTCCTCGCCAATACGCATACCCTGAACCTTGAGCTTGCGGTACTGGATGGTCTGCATCAGGAAGCTGATGGCCTGGGTGCGGACATCCTCGTCAACCTTAGTGTTGGCAGCGATCTGGTTCATCAAGATGACCAGGTCCTTGAGGTGGACGGTCAGCAAAGCAGGGTCACAACCAAGCAGATTCTGGAAGACTTCGAAAGACTGCATGATGTGATCCTCCTCTTGCTTCTCAATGGAGTCCTTGAGAATAGCGACCATGGCAGGGACCAACTCTTGGAAAGCCTTGACGGGAGCCTCATCCTCCTCCGAGTCCAGATGCATAGCAAGCTTGCTCAAAGACATGAGAGTGTTGATCCGAACTTCGGCGCTTTCGGGGTCGCGGATGGTCTTGTTGAAGAGGTTGAAGAGGTCCTGGAACTTCTCCTCGAAGCCTTCACCGAGAGTATCCAAGATGGTGAAGAGAATGTAAATAGCCACAGCGCGCTCAGCAGCGTTGCCATTGTTACCAGCCTGCAGGAGCAGGTTGGGCAGGTCAGCCCACTCGCCGTCGTTCAAATCGATCTTCGCAATAGCGGAGATGATCTGAGCGATGGAGTGCTGGACGAGAGATGAACTCTCGCCCATGGTAGAGCGAAGCAACTGTTCACGAATCTGGGGTTTCTGGACCGCGGGGACCTTCAGCCAGTGCTTGGAAACGAGTGAACGGGACTCTACGGAAGAGAGCTGGCGCAGATTCTGGTCATCATGACTAGTGCAGATCTGGATAAGGAAGACAAGGGACTCGGGCTTGTTGTAGAACTCCTTTTGCAAGACTCCGGTGGCCTCCTTAAGGTTTCCCTGGGAGGCTACATGAAGGGGTCAGCGAGACGAACATGGGCTTCGACGTTGCAAGACGAACTCACGATCCAGGATAATCTGCAATTGCTGGAGGAATCGCTGTTGATCCATGATGGAAAGGGCAATGTAGAAGATTTTCAAATGGTTCTTTTTTCTTTCTGGACGATTCCAGTTGCCCCAGGTCTCTATGAGAGACTCAGGCCGCAGGAACAAAGATTGAGCAGTCTGTCTCAGACAAACAACTCAAAGGGGGTATCACAAAGCAATATTGACAGAAAGCAAAAAAAGAAAGAGAGCGGAAGATGAAGAAAAAAAGAGAGTAGTGAGGGGAGGAGAGAGAAGAAAAGAGACGAGAAAAAAAAATTTAGGGGAGTGGGTTGGTTCTTGATTGGGTTTAGCGCGGGAACAGTTGTCAACAGGCGGGAATTTGGGCAGAGATTTTTAGACGACTCCATTTATATGGGTTTAGATTGGTGTGCATGTTGTTATATTACGATCATGGTTACAGTGAGCATTCATATCATTCATGTCAGTTGATCCTTCTTGTAAAGAGCGCAATTGGGACACGACCAATGGTATATCAGTTATACCTAAGTAACGGTAACCTGCATGCTGCAGAAGAGTATAGAGATTTTCCACATCAAAGACAGAAACATAGAAAAATCCCTTCGCCCTAAAACTCCTCTTTCGTCCGTCTTGTCCGATGGAGAGCAAACCGTGCTACAGCAAGAATAACACCAGTTAGCAAGTGCTTGGATGTATTGACAGCCGTGCATCCGGTGGTTTCCAGAAGACCCACACACTAACGAAGCCCCAAACAGCCGAGGCATCATTTAATATTCATCAGACTCATATTCATCATGGAGTAGCGATGAGCGGTAGCCACGTGAAGCGAGATTGGCCTCTAGGCCACCTTCGGAGGCAGGGTCAAAGTAGCCTAAATAAGTCAGTAGAGTTCTCCTTATTCAATAGCGATGGGTCAATTTGCACGTACCACCGCCGCCAAAGTAGCTGAGAGCCACTGGTAAGAAGATGAGAGCATGCGTAGCAGCAAAAATCACCAGGGCTAGCCAAACCCGGAAGTAGTAGATCTCGAAGATCTTGCTTCGAGTGAACGCCAGGACGCAAACCCCGAGAAGTTTTGTCACGGTAATACCACTGAAGACAGTCCCACCAACATTGACCAAGGCCGCCCATGCTCGAGCGTCCTTACCACGGAATTCGGCGGGCACCTTATCCATGATGGGTCGAGCGGGGAACATGAATGCTCGGGCAATATGAGCACAGAACTCAACACCAATGCCGACACAAATGACCAAGTTGACAAGAGATACCGCATTCAAGGAGACGCCAGCGATCGCCATAGTGCCAATGATATCGACCACTATCATAACCACTGTGGTTGTAATGACAGCGCCCGTGGCTATAGACCCCAATATCACAGAGGTCAAGACGAAGATGATGGCCACGGCCGACCCAAGGAGGGTACCAGTAAGTCGCACAATGGAAACGTATTGATCAAAGAAGATGTAGAATTTGGAATATGGGAAGACGTCGATATCATGTTCCCGTGAGATGTCATCTGCAATCCGGCGAGCTGCAATATATGCCTCGATAAATTCATTCTGGCTCCGAAGAGGCGTGTGGCTAGTACGGAAATGACTGGCGTTGATCGTTTTATACTTGTCATCAATGACCAAAGCATTGCTGTAGGGCGCTTTACCACCGAGGGGGCAGGATGCATCGGTGGGAGCATCGATCCATTTTTGGGCGTAATGGACAAATTCAGATCCTTCCGGCATTCCCGAAAGAGAGATGTTCCAGGCAGGAACGCGGTCCTCAAAACAAAGCTTGCCGTTTTCTTTGCAACAGTCTTGCTGGGGGTTCAGCCAATAGAAGAAATCATCAATCCAGCTGGCGGCAGAGCCTGCAAGATAAGAAACATTCGGACGCTTAGACTCTTGCTCAAGAATAAAGGGAAGTGAATACTCCTCGCAAGTGGTGAACCGTCCACAGAGCTGTTGTTGGTGGCTTCGTTCGGTAACATTCACATTCCGAGTCACGAAATAGACCGGAGGCCCTGTGTCAAAGTATGAATCTAGGTCGTTGAAATACGAAATCAGATACGAGTCGCTAGGGAGCGCGATACGCTGATCTAACCCAAGAGGAACCTCGGGGATGAAGGCTAGACCGGCAGTCAAAAGACCCAAGAAAAATATAACAACGCCAACTTTCACCCGACGATCCAGGAGGAAAGGCGCATAGACCCGACGAATGAAGACCTGCAAAGTGCTCTCTGCTTCCTGGCCGTCGTAGTTCTCCCCAGGGAAGCCGAACGAATTTGCTTTGCGTACAGTAAGACAAGGGATACAGTCCGCACGGAGACTCTGCACCCGTCTCTGGTTCAGAGCCAAGACGGAGATGAACATGGTGATTTGCAGGATGGCGTTAATGAAGACAGCACCAGCGGCGTATGCGGCAAAATTCTTGACAGCGGGCATACCAACAAAGATGCCCAGGGCAAAGGCTACTGTCTCCGTCAGAGCAGACAGGAAGATGCTAGGTCCGATTCGACCAACCGCACGGGCAACTCGCTCGTCGATTTCTTCATCGGGATGGCTGATATTGACTCGCTCGAATTCGTGGACGATCAAGAAAATGTTGTCTACACCGACTGCCAGGACCAAGAATGGAATTACTTCAGCAATGATCAAGGTCACCTTGACGCCCGCTGCCGAGAACAGTCCGACCGATGCAGAAACAGACATCAGGACAATGATGATCCCGACGATCCCCAGTGTAAATTTAGACTGAACAAGAGCATTGGACGGATTGGTCAGCAGAGACCTCCAGGTAACTGTGACCGAGCCCAGGGCCATTGAGACGTAGAAGAACATGATCAGGTAACTGATGACAACAATCTTCGCATCTGTGTTGGTAGACTTGTTCAGTTCCTGTTCCAAGCTGACCTCGGAATTAAAAGATACGCGAAGGCCTCGCTCGGCAGCCTCTTCTTGGACTACCCCGAGAACGGCCTGGAAAGTGTTCTCCCAGTCAATGGCTTTTGCTTCTTCTTCTGTTCCCTGGTCGTAATTATTTACCACCCAGGTCACAATGAGTGCCTGGGCATCCAGAACATTCCCTGTGTCTTCATATCCACCAAGAATCATTTCGGGCTTGAGGGGCTGCGAGAAGTCGGGGAGACAGCTAGGGTCGCCAGGCGACTTTGTGCAGTGGCTAAGTCTGTCCTTCCATGTATCTGGGTCAAGGTTTGAGACGGAACCGCCGAAATACCCAGTGAAGGATTGCACGACACAAGCTTCTCCAGTCGGCTTGAAACAAACGTCATCGAAATTGAGAGCCTGGTCCAACGAGATCACGCGTCGCACACGAGATTCGACGTCAAACCACCAAGTAAGGGTTTCGTAGTCCAAGAGCGGACGTGAGTCATTATCTGGGCGGTTATTCACCAAAAATGCCTGCTCGGCTCGGAAGAATGGACCAAAGCTCTGATCGAAGAAATCCTTCTCCTGGGCGGCCGCAGATGACGGACTCACCCAGAGTTGCACCGGATCCGTTTCAACGGTGAAATTTAGCCACCCTAGGCTCAGCAGCACCACTCCGGTGACGCTGGAGAATATTGTTATTGCTGGGAACCGCGCACAAGCACCACCGATTCGATAGAACATAGCTGACAACACAGAGTTGAGCTTGTATACTCCATGTGATCTTTCCATATATCCTCCACGGTGCATGACTTCCCCTTCATCTTCGTCATCGCTGGGCGTGGGATCTTGTAGCAACCGCACCCGCTCTGGTTTGCGGAAACGGCGTTCCTTGTATGTGACATAGCTCGCGAGAGCAATGACAAATAATAGAAAGACGGAATAAACGAGAATGACGGCAAACGATAGACATGGTAGAAGTCCTACATGACATATCTTGTGGGGGGAGATGGCAGGCAACTCCGGACACACTTCCGGGCAGTCGACACAAGAACATCGGAATGATTTGTCCTCGTCATTGCAGGCTTTCGGCTTTATTGACAAAGCCTTCATTCCTTGCGGGTCAGGCCCAGTGGGCTCTGTGTGATAGTTAATCTGGAACGGGCTCCCGAGAAACTTCTTATCACCTAAAAACTTCATGAAATGGGGAGCGTCTTTCGCACCACCGCCGATGAAGTCAATGGCTTTCCCGCCCGAGGCACCGTTCTTTACGTTCTTGCAGCTATCGTAGAAGCCGTTCTGGTACTCCTCGGACCAAATATTGTCCAACTCGGTCACAAGTCTTTTACCAGATCTGTTTTCTTCTGTTTTGGTGACATTGATGAAAAGAGATTGATCGGGGGAGCATGTAAAGGTACAGAATATGTTGAAGAAGTTGTCTCGGCAGGCAGGGCAGGACGCGATAATTCCCTCTGCTAGTTTGAGGTTACTGGAAAGCGCATCGATCTATGGGTTATCAGCATGATAGAATTATAAATATAGTGATACTATCGTTGACGAAAACAGAGGCCGGGATCTCTCACCTGTTCATCTCGACAACAGACCGGCCCTTCGCTCCATTTGCTGCCACACAGATTTACCAACTTTTGGCGTACTGCGTCTTCTGGTTGTTGCGCCAGGTCATTATCTGGACAGGGTAGTTCACCTCCAAAAATGGATTGCTTTCCACAATGACCTCGAATAGCACAACGGCCCTTTTCGTGGATTTTAGTTTCGCCCTGTGCACCGACAAGGGTAGGTGCAAAAGAGCCCAGCCCAACGATCAGGGCGAGAGCCCTAGGCAACCGCATCTTGTGGGAAGAATGGGTGTGGTGCGAGAAAGAATTCTTTATACCAGTCTTCAATTAAGATGCCTGGGACGGGAACACTTTCAATACTGGAGGTTGGCCATGCACTGTTCGGTTCGTGTGGGGAATGTTGCAGGCCGAGCTCAGGAGCTGGCGCAAGGAGGAGGGAATCTGAATTGAAAGGACAACCGGACGATGGAGCTCAATATCAAAATCGGATTAAAATCAATAATTAAGCTCGATGGCTATGATAGTAAGATAGAGTGAGTAAGAGGAGAATAAAGCAAGCTTTTAGAAGTTGAGTGACGTGAAGGCGGAGACCCGCGGTACATTCGTCCCCCGCACGGTCACGCAACGAACCCAAGTACCTTGTCCAGGCGCTAACCGTCAGGCACGATGATGTGGCTAATATCGTGGCTCGAATCACATTGGCCGAACTGACCTCTCTGTTCTTGGCATCTAGAACCTACGGGCAAAATATATTTCTATGTGATTGTAAATATAAATATGTTCTTTGTCCCCGCTCAAAGAGAACGTATGTTGCATATACGGGGATTTGAGTCTACGTTATAAGATATGTTATTGTAAAGACGCTCATGATTTCATTTAACAAAAAACAGAAATGACCGACTCCGAGCCGAAACCGCATTCTATGAACAGGAACTCCGAGTCTCAAACAGGAGAGACAAATGTGATTGCGTCTGCATCGCCGGTGATTCAGTTAGCAATGAGAACGAATATGGGAAGAACCCAGAGAGATGTTAAAAGATATCACATGTGAAAAGAAATTTTGCAAGCCATTTGCCCAAGGGGTATCATCACAATGCAGGCCAGGCAACATAAACATGCAACCTAATAGCCGTCATCATCGACCTGTTGGTAAACGTGGCGGGTTCGGGTGGGGTCCTTGCGCATGGTTTGTCCAGAGCCTGTGAATCCCACTAAAAGATGAGCCCGGTTAGCATCACAGAGTAGAGAACGAATCATTTATAAGGAACCCATACCTCGTGCATTGACACCTTCACCTGTGCGGAACATGCTCTCCTTTTTGCCAAAGGCACCTTTGCCTTTGCCTTTAGTTTTGGCAGCGAAATCCTTCCATTTGTTCTTGCCTTCTTCAAGCTCTTTGTTCGCTTTGACCTTGCGGGGAATCTTAGCGGGGCGAGCCATTCCATCACCGGCCTTGTTGGGTTCGTTGCGAGCCTGGGTAGCTAATGCGGGGTTGATATCTGCCGCGGCGGAGATTACACCGGGGTGAGAGAGAGCGGACGAGGGAGGTGCCGAACTGCCTGGGGTTCCATCAGCCTTGCGCTTTCGCGAGTCAGTGCCAGAGATGGGTCGGATATCCTTGGCTGTCAAATTTTCCACAGTTGCATATGACTTGAAGGTGACAAGGTACACTGGGTTGTCCGATGAGCCAGTGATGGAGTTGATTTTGGCCGGGTAGAAGCCGTGATCGCCGGAGACCCAGCGCGCAAGAACAATGTCGTTCACCGAGAAGGATACGGGAGTAGTAGGTGCAGCCGTGGACTCCTCTGGGTGTTCAGAAGGCTTCTGGGAACCATTCGCCTTGAATCGGCCACCCTTGGGAGCAGGTTTGGCGGGCGCAGCTGGCTTGAGTTCAGCAATCTGGGTTTGGAGAACGGTAATGTATTCTTCGAGTTCAGTCTTAAGGCTGTTGAGTTCAGCATTATCAGGGTCTACCTCCAAGCCCAATGCGACAGTTTCAATCTAATGGTTTTTAAGTTAGTGGCGCGTGGTGAACTGGGGGGATTTGCCGCAACTAACCTGAGACGTGCATTCTGTCAGGTCTTTCTCCAAGGAAGATACATCAGCCATGATGAGATTCTGATTGATGTGAGATAGACAGTGCTATTAGGAACTTGATCTGCTTGATGTGTATCGGTGAAGAGCTGAGTGGATTGCGGAGAAATAATCTATCTTTCTTCCTGGCCCGATCACGTGCATTGTACTTCCGCCTTTCTCTCCGCCCTGATAGACGGTTTTACGCCACTGCATAAAGTACATGTGGATCTGTACCTAGTGTTCACCTTCGTTACTCGTATGTGGTCAAGACTTTAATTTGGGAAGACTGAGCAGTACGCAGCATATCTAATTCAGTATGGTATGATAAGCAAACAGGCGATGACCCTATAGTATCATAGTATCGAAAACATCGATAATCCACTTTCTGCAGATCGATGGGGATATATGCATGGTAAGGTCTATTAGAGCTATGGAGTACTCCGTCCAATATGCTTTATACTACTTTGTATATTCCCTGATTTAGGGGTATGGGAAAAGTGGTAACGTCATTGAATGGCCTGATACTCCAGCATATCGGACCGGGGATTGGAAGACCCGGGCCAGACCCGGCGACATAGGTACGGAGTACGGAGTCTAAAAGCTCCATATATTGCATTGCCAAGTCAAGATGTGAGTCAGAGGAGTCAATTAACTAACTACTAGTTAACTAGTTAGTTCGGGAACAGTGTGTAGGATGTTGTAGGTTAATTAAACACTTTAGGGCTTAGAAGCTACTCGAAGTGGAGAAAAAAAAAGAAAACTGATTTCAAAGCAGATACGCCTACAGCCAATCATATCAGCCACACCACTCACCGCCCATCCCTGATCGCCCTCCCCCCTCTTCCAGTCCTCCAGTCATACAACCTCGTCCATCGTTTCTCTTGGATTCTGCAACTTTCACGTTGGAATTGTTGCATATCAGCCTCGCGTTTGCTCAAGCCACACTTATACCGCAATTCGACTAGCGGGGAATTTGTCCTCGCCTCAAGCCCCTCTCGAAAGCCGCTAGAAACTCTTCTTCCTCTTTCCCCCCCCTCCATATCCAATATCGCCCCCCATATTTCCCCCCCCCCAACTCTGGAATTTTACTCTCGGTTCTTACTTGCGACGGATCAAGATTCAACATAATATCGGATTGCCGAGATTGCTCACTCACAAATCCGAATAAGTTGTGAAACAGCCGTGAAGCTATACTGCGAGGATTGAATCATCCTCCAACCCTCGTCGTTTCACGGCATCCATCAATATCTGTTACGGGCGGGAGGCCCGGTTGGACTCTGTATTGAAATCCATTCATTTTTCATCACCCTTGCTTTTCTTGTCTCTCGTCAGCCCCTCTATCCATTGGAAGTAGACCGTCACAATGGGTGATTACGAACGATACCAACAAGGTCTTTACCTTTCCCCCAACCAACAAGACCTCTTACTAGCCGCTCTATCTTCCAACAACCCCAGCCAAAAGCCTCAAAGTGGCTCTCCCCCAATCAAGTCCTCTCAGAGCCCCGACGAAGATCCCCCAAACGCTCTTAGCACCGACGATCCCCATGCCAACAATTTCGGATTTGGGGACGACGAAAGCCCGTTCCTGGATTTCATCCCGGAGGTGGACTTCGATTTCCCCGGCTCGGCTGACTTGATTGGTGACCTACCGGGATTGGCCGACTATGATATTGGCGGGAAGCGAAAGTCTCTCGACGGCAAGTCGGACATTGAAGGGGAAGAAACCGGAAAGAAACGTAGGGAAAGTGAGGCCAAGAAGCCTGGTAGGAAGCCACTGACTTCAGAGCCTACCACGGTATGCCACTCTTGCTGCACGCGGAAGTTGCTGGGACTAGAGTCGTGAACTGACGTAATTGAGCAGAAGCGCAAGGCCCAAAACCGAGCCGCCCAGCGAGCCTTCCGCGAACGCAAGGAGAAGCACTTGAAGGATCTGGAGGAGTCGGTGGAGAAGCTGCAAAGGACATCCGAAATGGCAAACCAGGAGAATGGCTTGCTGCGTGCCCAGGTCGAGCGGTTGCAGGTCGAGCTGCGTGAGTACCGAAAGCGCCTTTCCTGGATGGCCTCGGGATCAGGAAACGCCATCTCGGCTATGAGCTCGAATTCTATTCCGGGTGCCCATGCCAAAGGGGCCTATGGCCTCCAAAACAACGAGTTTCTCTTCGATTTCCCCAAGTTTGGCGATTTGCCTGGGGGTCATCTCTTCAACGGACCGGCCAACAAGAAAGATCAATCCAAATCCAATGACAACGTCCCTCGGGCACCTGGTGTCTTGGGTCGCGACAGTCTGAACAGTCCCTCGTCTCGATCGAATTCGCTTTCACAGTCGAACAAATCCAAGTCCACCGGAACTTCCACCAACGCTACTTCTACCAAATCGCCTTACTCGGGCTTCAAGCCTTCCGCAAATGATAAATCTACTACTTCGGAAAATTCTCCATCGTCTTCCTCCGACTCGCACCAGAGCCAGATGCTGTCGTCAAACGGGACGTCCCCAGAACCAAGCATGAACTCTTCTCCAAATGGGCAGTACCGTGAGCTAGGGCCAGGGGACTCTTGTGGCGGGCATGTCACCACCGATGGAGAGAAATCCTTCTGTGAACAACTTGGTATGGCTTGTGGCAACATCAGAAATCCCATCCCAGCGGTCCGGGATAGCAGGTCCAAATCTCAGAGTGTTTCAAGCGGCCAACCAACCCCGATCGATGGTCCAGCCGGGGGCGAAGGCTCTCAGGATCTTGGAATTGATTGGCTGGCGCATCAGAATGGCGGGCAGTTCGATCCAGTGCTCTTTGGCGATTGGCGAGAGCCCCAGGATGCTGTGCTCTCTCAGGATTTCGGCTCTTTCTTCAATGAAGCATTCCCCCTGCCGGACTTGGGTAGTCCCTCCCACAATTTGTCCGAGGTCGCCACTGACGCGGCCGCACCCAAGAAGAACCTCATTTCTCAGATTGATAACAAGCTCGAGGAAGATGAGGTCGTTCCAGGCGAAGACCAGTCGCAGATGCTGTCATGCACGAAGATCTGGTACGTCTATCCTCATATAAGTATTCAACAGTTTATCTTCTTCCAGATGACTGACTTCATTTTTTCTCTAGGGATCGTCTTCAATCTATGGAAAGATTCCGCAACGGCGAGATCGACGTTGACAATCTCTGCTCCGAGCTTCGTACCAAGGCACGATGTTCTGAGGGTGGTGTAGTCGTGAACCAGAATGATGTTGATGACATTATGGGACGAGTTAAGTAGCGGCTTGCTTCCAGGAAGCTCACCGTCACTGCCGCCCTTAACACAACTCATACTCGGGCTTAATTCACGATTCACGGACCAACACCAACTCATTGATACTTGCGCTCTCTTGATTTATACGCATACCCATCGTCGATTGTCATTTATGGGAGGAATCCTGCCCGGCGTCATGAATACAACACAGGATAAAGATGAAAAACTCATAGGAGAGGAGAAATAACATCCTATTTACGGGATATCTGATTTTGAAAGCGTTTTTTTTTGTCGATGCCCATAGCTGGCAATCTATCAGTGCCCCTTCTCAAGGGGACACCACATTCCTTCTTTTTTCCCCCTCTGCTCTCTTTGCAACAGTAATTGTCATTTGATTTATTTTATGCTTGTTCTGATTGACAACATTGAGCTATGGGAGACACCGTCTCTGGCCATGAGATTTCAGCAAAAATGGAATGGCACTTCAAATGCCTATTGTACGGAAAGGGAATATGGCGAAATTGATATACTACTTTCTTTTGCAGCTGGGACAGAATAGCCCTGCTTTGCGATGTTCAATGTACTTTTCTTTTTTTGTACACAATCTATTGAATGGATCTCATCTCTACTCGCAATTGACTCAATTCCACTAACCCAGCTTGATTGAGCATACGGTAATAGGAAGACTTGTAGGTACGCAAGAATGAGTACGAAGTAGCAATCTCGTAGATCTACAAACTCCAGAAGAAGGAAAGCTGTAAGGGTATCGATGTGGTCCACGGACGTAAAAAATAAAGTACAAAGAGAAAAGAGGTGAAAGGGTGCATTCTTTTTTTTTCTTCTTTTCTTTTCTGATGATGTTTTCTCCATCCATTCCTCCCTCTGCAAACAAAAAAAGAAACTGTCTGGAGCTCACCGAAGGACTCTCACTTCGGAGTCCAGATCAACGCTGCAATTAGCGTCCATGTCCCGTGTCCCTGACCAGACCTGAGAACAAAGAACATAAAAGATTGAGCGCTATCAGAGTCAAATAAGGGAAAAAGAAGATTTGCAAATGGGACAAGATAAAAAAAGACACAAAAGAATTAGAGTATCAGGTGTGTAAGATCGAGGCAATGTCAAGGGCCGGGGGAAAAATATGAGACATAGAAATTTGTATGTCACCGATCAGGCGTCGCCGGATGCGACAGGCTTGTCGCCTGAGGGGGTAGGAGAGTCATTAGGGCCGCTCTTGAAGCCACCCCGGCCTCCTCCACGACCACCACGGCCTCGCTCGCCAGTGCCACGGCCGCCGCGGCCACGGCCACCGAATCCACCACGACGACTGCCATCGCTGTCACTGGCGCTCTGGTACCCACGCGGGGCGGTAGCGATGCCACCCCGGGTGCTGGACTGCCAAGTTCCGGCATTGCCGACAGCAGCACGGGTGCTGCGGTCCTCGAAGAACTTGAAGTTGGGCTTACGTGGCTGACCATGGGGAGTGGAACCGGGCTTCTTTAGCTCAATAGGCAAGTGGTCCAGAGCCGCCTTGGCCTCTTCGACGCCCGAGAATGTCACAACGTGGTTATACTTGCCGAGCTTTTCGATCTTGGTGATCTTCGATCTGTCCTCCTCAGAGATGAGGTCACGGACGGCCTGTTCGCTTTCGGCGCTTGTTACGAAAAGAGCATTTGCGGGCTTCTTTTCGGCACGTGGTGCAGGTGATTCACTCAGCTTTTCGTGCGGGGCAATACCGTTAGTCTCGGCAGCTGCGGTCTTCTCCTCCCCGGTGGGCTGAGCAGAGGCGGCAACAGGTGGCTGGGGGGTAATGGACTTGGGAATCACGGGAACAGGGGAGGCTCTCGGTCCCTTCTGGCCCTGAGGAATGGGTGCACGCGCAGGAGGGGCCTGGCCGAACTGGGGAGCCACGACGGGGGTCCGGGCTGCGCCTGTCGGGGCGGGTGAGGCAGTGGTCGCTGGGTGACCAGTAGAGACAGGTTGAGGGGCACCACCTGCCTGGGGTTTGCCAGTGCGGTGGGCGAAGTTGAATCCTTGAGCCCGCATCTCTGTCGCGATGCGTCCACCTTCAACCTCCAATACGAGATATCCGAACGCCGCATCGGCCAAGTTGAAGTTCCACATATTCTTGAATGCACTCTCGTCGACTTGTCCAGCGGCATTACCGGCGGCAACGGGGCCACCGAATGGATTACCGCCGTTGGCAATGGAAGGCATCTTGTGAACAACATCCAGGGCATTCTCTAGAAGAGTCTTCTGTCCATCATTAGAGGAGATAGCTGCCTCGACCTCGATCCGGACCGTCTCCCAGACATCGTTAAATGACGCCTTAGAGGCAGCAAGCTTGCCACGATAATGATCCAAAGACGGGTTCACGGAGAACTCATTGTACGAGGAACCGTAGCGGAAATGAAGACCAGCGGAAATTGAAAAATCGGCCTTGAGGGTGACGGAAAGCTGGTTCAGCATGCCCTCGCGGGCAGGAGAAGCGTGAGTGACAAAGATACGAGTCTCGGAGGGGTCGTAGACACGATTGGCGGTGTCGATGAGTTCGCCCATCTGCAAAAGTGTCGTCCACATGGTACCTTGGCCGCCGGCAATAGTCGTCTTTCCTTCACCATTGTCGAAAAGCTTGTGCATCACGACAGCACCTCCCAGACCCAGCAGACGGAGCTTCACACCGCCGATATCGAGAAGGCGCGAGTTGGCCTCGTCGATAATGTGTAGCTTATCTACCTTGTATTCACCCGAGCGGAACTTCTCCAGCACGCGCACATCTTCGCAGGCACCCCAAACTGTGTAAACGGGCACATCAAGGGTGATGCGCTTGTCCAGTAGCATAGAGAGCTCAGAGAGGGGCAATTGCTCGGGCGGGAAGCGCTGCTTAATCGACTGCTGAGGAGACACCTGTGCGATGGACCGTTTCACGTTCTCGGGGAGGAGGGGGGAATATTGTGCCACATGCTTCAATGTCCTGTTCGTAGATTCGGGTTAGCTGATGCTGTCCAGTAGATTTCGGTGCCTGGCGAGGCGAATGTGTTGGGCAGCAAACACGCGCCGAAAAGCTTCAGAAGAATACTCACTTGTCTGCAATTCGCTCGAGCGAGGTGTCATCATAGAAACCAAAGTCACCGGTGTGAATGATGTGGTCGGCGCGGGCCTGCTTCGCAAGCTCGTTAAGCGACTTCAAGTTGCCTGTTTTACGCGTCCAATTAATATTGTGTCACTTTGCCAAGAAAGACATTGCCATAATGTAGTTACCTCGCACGTCTGCAATGCACAAGATTCGTGTCGGACCACTCTGAATCACACGGCCATTGTTGGGGAGAAGCGGCGTGGCACCGGGGACAGGGCCCGCAGCCGCACCATTCGAAATAGGGTAGCCTTGAGCACCGAAGTTGGGGCGGGGCTATAAGTGAAAAGGAGTGATGATATTAGCCAAGCTCTCCAAAATCTCAAGATATGACATTCATCGCGATTAGAAGCTGGGGTGCGCAAATGCGAGGGGAGGTAAGGTTAGGGAGCCACCTACAGAAGCCATGGGGGTGTTGAATTAGATCGATGTGAATGGTAGGATGTGAAGTGTAGGGTGAAGATGATGGAGGGGAGAAAGAAGAGAAACGAAAGAGGGAAAAGGATGAAGGTGGTGTCGAGGGGAAAAAGATGTCGAGGATTCACTTTCTCATCGATGAAGCAGCAGGCGTGACATGAAGATTAGGTAAGCCGCCCCTGGGTGGACCTCTACAAACAACACTCTTTATATGTCCATGCATGGGGCCTTTGAACTGATTAAGTTGATTCAATGGATTATATTGACTAGTTTGACTGATTTGACTATATTTTATTACTCTTGACTGTTCCTAGAATGTGGTACTTTTGTGTTTTTTCCACATTGGGCCGAGATATTATCATAGAGCATGATCTCGTCCTGAGCTCGTGAAGTCTAACATTGGTGAGACAGTCCCTCCTCGCCCGATCATCCGGGGTGAGTACTCTATGTAAGCTGTGAGAGATAGACCGAAGGACCCTAAATCCTATCCCAAGATGTCTCTTGACTATCAGGTATCAGGTATGTAGGTCACGACAATCCATGTGTATCAAAGTTCTTTGATATGATTCCCAAACAGGTATTGCTGCCTATCTACCATCTCTCCCACTGGCTCCAACACTGCTCCACGTCGACATGATAAAGATTGAATGGATCGAGGGCCTTTCAGTGCTAACAACGCAAAATGTCCCCCAACAGTCGGACGGGCCCTACACAAAATAGGAACTCCTGGCTCATTTCCGTGCGCAGAGGTTGCAACATACCGATCAGAGAAGGGCCAATTGTGTTTTCCATTGGTCATGAACGACCATAAGTCATCGACGAACTCGTCCCTGGTGCTCGTTTCAAAGGTACCAGCCAGCCACATATTCCAATCCGATTTGGCCCAGTCTTGGCGATTATCGAGAGGAACACCATATTCACCGCGAACAGATGTGAAAAAGTTACTTCCCATTTGATAGGCAGAGTCGGTAAATGTATTCAAGCCCAGCAATACATCAGGGAAGAGATTATATGGGGTCTTCCAAGTACCTGGCCAGTCAGGATATTCCAAAACAAAATGTGTCTGGTCTTTGTCTGTTCCTAAGCCTTGCTGGAAGAAGATATTTGCATGCTGGTCACCAGCGCGGGAGTAAACCCCATCTCCACTCATCTCCCCAAACGCCTTGAGGCCAACTGCGGCCTTGATTGCCAGATTTGTCTCGTTCGCGAGAGGTCCAGCTGCATCATTTGACGACAGCTGATTGGCAATATTGACACTATTTTCCAGCAAGTAATTTGCATACTTCTGGAAAACCTCCATGTAATGCGCAGACCAGTCGGTATCGCCAGTGGCTCGAACATACGCAGCAGCTAAAATAAGCAGATTTCCGCATTCCTCGATTGGCATCGGCTCTGCTTTCTGGTCATCGTGCCCAATAGCATGGGGATAATGAGTGCCAAGGTCATGAATCGTGTATGGCAAATGCCAGCGACCAGCAGCAAGGTACTTCATAATGGGCTCCAGCAATAGTCGGATGTAGTCCGGATCCATGACGTAGTAAATCGGGAAGGCGGGCATGATAACGTCGATTGTGTTGGTATTTCCATTGCTAGAAAGCTCCTTGATGAAAGCCAACACCTCACCGGTGTCGAGAGAGTCATTGGGAATTACCAAGTCGATGCCTCCGTATGCTTGCCGGGTCGAAAGAGCTAGGATATCTGCATACTTGGGACCCGCAGCGGCAGAAGATAAGGCGACCAGCTCCCGATCCAGTTTCAATGACTCTAGCAATGCGTTGCTATAGTCATCCAAGAAGAATGAGAGGGCGCTCGATGTGGTGGGGTACTCTGCACGATAGAAACCAGTGTATGCTTCTCCAAGATAGTTGATGGCGGCTTCTCTTTCGTACCCGACCACGAAGTTCACAGAATGCCCACCAGTGACGTTACCAAGATTGTGAGCCAGTGCGACAACACTTCCCTCAGCCCAGGTATCGTCCTCACCAGATAGTTTACCATCCTCACCAAATAGCCTTCGTACATCCTCGGGACTTCCCGAGAGAGCGGTTAACTGACTCAAGCTAGATGATCGAGAGGCGAGAATTGCTGAGCCCCAAAGAGCCATGTCGTCTGCCTCGGCATACAGCGGTGCGTCTTCGACCGTGAGCGAGTAAATGGCTAGGCCGTCTTGCTCTTCGAAGTCGCGCTGTGAGTGGCTTTTTCCGCCAGTCCACCTGGCATCGATATCTGAATAGATCTGGATCTCATGGCCGCGCGATTCAGCTACCTGTACTGTTAAATAACCTATTCTCCCAGTCAGTTGAGGATATCCACAATCTACCATATTGCACATCACCCACTAAAAGGAAGCGACTGCCGAACATAGTTTGACGGTGACACAGGCGACAAGAAATCCAGCTTAAATGCCACGGGTCCAGCCGTAAGATCAAATATCGAATGCGTAGCGGTAAATTCAGCGCGACGCACCGTCGCAGGGCGGATATTGCTTACGCCCATGTCTGGAACGCCCATCAGACTATATGCCTGGCCATTCACACGGACAATCACAGACCAGCCGAGCTCTTGGCCAGCCCAGAACTGAGGTTCAGCATAGGGCAACTGCTGTACTCGGTCGCTGGGCATCCATGCCGATAGAAACGGGTTGCGGACTGCTAGCGGGTAGGACGGTGGGAGGACAGGGTGATGCGTTACGGAACTCGATTCCTGGCCCGAGTAGAGGGAGAGCATCGATGCATAGAGGGGGCCTAAGCCCAGTGAGCTTAGACTAAATCGCATGTTGAAATTGGTGCATGTGTTGGAGGTTGAAGAGTGTGACCAAACGAGCCGGGCGCATATATTATGAATGGCAATATCCACGGCCTAGATGGAAGTATATTGAAGTCAGAAACTGAACTAAAGAATTCCTTGTCGATCTTCCTGCGTCATATTGGAGGGGGCCCCCACAGTACTTACGCGTTCGCAACTATCTACAACTTCCCAATTCGCCGCCCACTTTCATCGAAATGAATATGCTTTCCAGACACGAGCGCATCCTAGAGGTAATGATCAATCCCAACGGTCTTCACAATATTGGTTAACTTCATAAAAACCGGCGTGTTCCCTAAGCAATATCTTCCTCGAAGGTAGGGCTGGACCGACCTATGAGGAACTCATCAAGTAATGCCACCGTTGTGGTATTAGCTGGTAAAGTTTCGCCGAGGGTTGTCATCCACTGTCAACTTGCCCTGAGTGCCTATTTCACCGGTATCCTCCCCAGCAACCATCATGCGCTAGTAATACTAGGCAATCATGCCATTCCGGAACATGCCAACAAACACACCGTTGCACCAGGCTGTAGACTCGTCGTAGGAGCCGGCGGGATCGAACTTGCCACAACGCTAGCCGTGGATAACGGCAGGTCGTCCGATGAGATATCGCTCATCTTGGCCGGTACGAATCGGCAACGTCTAGACAAGTCGTACACCACCTTCAGATAGGGCTTCTTCTTAGCAGCCTAGACCACTGCTTTGCACTTTAAAAGATATTCATCAACATTTGTCGTAACTTCAAACAAGAAGAAAATACACCACTTTGATGTCGCTGGACAGCGGCTTCTCCCGGAGAACGTGCAAGTCTTGCTCGAGCTTGATTGTCCCCTCCGCGTGCACGTAGCCGTCGCAATCAACAGCCTGTAGATCGGGATGCTTGGGCATCTTATTGTGGATGATGTACTGGGTCATACTGTAGGGCGCCAAGTTCAGTCCAACACCAAGGCTGAGAACACGGTATTGACCGCACACCATAGTCTAGTGGCTTGTGAATTGAGTTTGCTTTTCGCGAAGTATTGCACCGACTTGGCAGGGGGTATCATTCAGCATCCCCTCGACCAAAGGGCTGCGGAATCACCATTGCAATCCATGCATGCAAGGACCAGTTGGAATATGAACGCGGTCAGCTAAAGATTGCACAGTGGCAAGAGGTTGACGAGAGTATGGATCAGGAGTGAAAAACAAAAGAGTAATTCAGGTCGATAAAGACCGATGACTCAGTAAAACGACCCGAACATGAAGGTGTCATGGAAAGTCCATGGAAAATTCTTCCAAGTCTCCCAAACAGGTATGCCAAAGGGGTCTGGTCAAGGGGAAGATCTCAATCTCAGGGGGAGCATCGTACGTAGTCACACCCCACCCCTTTCTCCATTTTACATTATTTAAGTCACCGTTGCGCTTCGTTTTCTTTGATTAATTCCACATATACTACAACGTGCAGAACAAGAAGTACTTGATATCCTCTGTGATATCCTCTGCAAGACCCCGGCGTCCCCTACGTCCCGCCCCCGCAAAAACAACCTCGCGCTAGCGGAAGATCAGCATTGTCTCGGAGAAATTGCAAGCGACGCGCGTGACAGGCCATTTGTTTCGCCTCCGGTCTCACCTTCAAACATGAACACAATCCTCGCGTTCTTCCACGGGCTAGTCCCAAGATGTTTACGGAAATCCGATGTCACAAATTCCGACGTCTCGAGGAATCACTACTATATACCCGTCATGCAAAGCTCAAAGTCCCCCATGAGCGCAACCAAAGAACATAAGATCATATCAATTCCGATTTCATGCGCATCCCCGCCTTCTTACAACGATGTAAGCGGCGCCGTTATCATAAACCAGGATGGCAAACCTCACTTCCTATCACCAGAGGAAGAGGTAGAGCGACGACACCGACTGCAGCAAGCAGTGCGCGAGAAGATGTTAGGGCTACCACGAATGACCAAGTTTGAATGGTATCACAGAACATCGGGAACTACAGGCCCTGTGAGCGAGGAACTACCACCACCGCTGTATACCCCCCGAGAAGATGAGAAGAAATGACGTCATACCAAGTGCTGGATATGCAGAGTATTGACAGAGCGTTGGATTCCCTACTCGTGAGCAGGATACAGCCCGCAGTACACTTTATATAGACTGCAGGGGTCTTTGTATGATAATGCACCGAGGGTTCACCTTTGAATTTCATGGCCTTGGCTATTATTTATACAAGAATTGCATTCGTAGATGTATGCGAGGCTAGTTCCGGAACAGTCTCAAGCCACCTTCCTCCCGATCAACATCATCCTCTTCATCGCTGATATCTTCATCACCTTCACCGAGCAAGCCGCTGGCCGTTTTGCCGAGCAGAGAAGCAAAGAACTCATCTCGTGCGCGGGTAGACCAGGAACCACGGTCATCGGGGGCCATGAAGTTTTGGAGCTTTTCATGCACAGTGTACTTCATTTTGCGGCCCTTGGAAGCACGGGTATCAATATCTCGCTTCACCTTATCGTTGCGCATCCCAGTAATGGGGTGAATAGGCAGGCGCGAGGGCAACTGGTGCAGGTTGTCAAAGCCACTGGTCATAGAATCGGCTGAGGACATGCGCTGTTCAACAAGATCGCGCAAAAGGGACTGGTAGAAAGCCCCATCATCGTAGAGAGGTTCTTGTTGATCAGATGTGCGCGAACGCTTCGAGGATCGTTCTCCAATCTCTGTGGCAACTTGAGCATCGAGTACGGCTGTGATGGTCTGTTGACGACCGGAGGTAGAACCGAGCAGTTTGCCTCTAGCATTAGGAAGAGATGCAGAAGTGCCACGAACTTTCGAGGACCACTTGTCGAGAATGGAACGACGGTGCGAAATGGACTGAGACTCCAATTCAGCCATACGTTCCCATAGCGAGGTAGAGTTGGTGGTAGGCGAAGCGGGGGAGGGTCGCTTGCGCTTTTTGCTGCCTTCTTTGGCGGTGGCATCGGCCAGGGCAGTACGTAAACCTTCGAGGGTCGACCATAACGCCAGAGCCGCTGACTCTGCCGACTTGATTGCTTCCTCATCAACAACTTCTTCTTCTTGATTCATCTCGTTCTCTCCATCTGCTTCGTTCTTTGAACCCAACACAGCAGCAATACCGTTAATAGAGGTCAATCCACTCTGAAGCTTCATCCGCGCGTTAAGGAGCGCATCAAAAGTGGTACGTTGTTGCTTGACAGCCTTTCCCTTTGTAGCATCGGCCTTGGCTGCCGAGGAGATCGTGGCAGCGATAGTTTTCTGATCCGTTGCCATTAGTTTCCGAATCTCGTCGCGGTCAACAGACGGTCCGCTTGTGTCGCCATGTCGGACATCTTGGAGCGTTTTCTTGGAGTGCTTGTCGACTACCTCGTCGGCATCCTCATCATCCTCATCATCCTCTTCGCTCTCTTCGTCATCGTCATCCTCGCCTCCCTCTGTGTCCTCATCGGAACTCTCCTGGGCCAGGGCATCGTCGCCACTGGCAGATTCTTCGGAGCCAGACGAGACATCTGTGTTCTCGTCGCCTTCATCACTTTCGGCGCCTAGTGCCGCCCGGCTGACTCGGGCACCATCATATTGCTTCCCCAGTGGGAGGGGGTCATCTTTGCGGAGCTTTGCTTTCCTGTTTGATTATTAGCGCGTTGTTGATACCAAATACACATATCTTTACACACCCAACAGTTTCATAATGCTCTCTGCCTGCCGTCACTTCTTCTTTATCTTCACCTTCCTCGTCACTTGATTGCTGACCATTATCGATATCCTCGGGATCAAAATCTAAGGGCGAAGTTAGCATTGAATGTCCAGTACTCAAGAGGATCTGTTATGCATCATTCAGGCATACCTTTAGGAGTTGGATCTTCAAAATCAGCAAGCTGATCAGCCAGGGAACGACCTGCGCGTGGTTTACCCATGGTGTTTGGTATGAGGAGAGAATGAGAGATTGCCGAGCAACTTTTTTACTGGTTTTTCCGGATAACGGATTATTATTCCTATCTAGGTTTAGCGCCCGTAGGCAGTAGAGGTTCATGTGGGCGGTGTACAGCGTAAGAGCTTCGACTAAAGGCGGTCGGCCCTTTTCTTGGCAGTATCGCAGTGGATATCTTGCACTACATATTCTAGAACTACTTCTGTTGCTCACAGATTACTAGGTCCTTCATTTTTTTCTTCTCATCTGCCTCATTTGGCCTGTGAGTATGTCGGTTCTGCCGTCTAGCTCCATCACTAGGGGTGCGAGGCTTTTTTCTACATATCTTGCTCTTCAGCATGAGAATCCTTTGGTTAGTTGTTAATCTACATTTCAGAGCTCCGGTGGTTGCCTCTCGGCTCACTAATTGACTCTAAGAACCATTCTCATTTGTTACAAGAGCTATTTCAATTTGCATTGACTGACTATGAACAGGGACTTCCACGCTCTGGTACCCCGCCAACTTTTCGTTCGCGCCGAGGGCTGCCTGAGAAGCGCAAGATTCGAGATGTTAACAAAATTGTTGCAGTCTCTTCAGCAAAGGGAGGAGTTGGAAAGTCTACAATAGCGGGTACGTAGATATTATCCTCCTATCTAGGCGCAAGTGTGAGCCCAAATGGAACAAACAGTCGCTAAAGAGATCTTATCAGTCAATCTCGCACTATCATTTGCACGCCGTGGTATCAGGACTGGAATTCTTGACACCGATATATTCGGTCCTTCTATCCCCACCCTCCTTAATCTCTCCGGCGAACCTCGCCTCGACGAAAGTGAGACTCCCTTTCTAAGCTTACCACCATTTCAGCCATAATCAACATGCTTATGAATATTGCCAGACAACTGCCTCGTTCCTCTAACGAACTATGGCCTTAAATCAATGTCAATGGGCTATCTCCTCCCCCAAACACAAGCCGACAGCACAAGTGGCGAGCTACCTATGGACACAACACCAATCTCATGGCGCGGGCTAATGGTAACCAAAGCCATGCAACAACTCCTTCACTCAGTGTCGTGGGGACCACTGGACGTTCTAATCCTCGACTTACCGCCCGGAACCGGCGACGTGCAGCTCACAATCAACCAAGAAATCATCATCGATGGGGCAGTGATCGTATCCACGCCGCAAGATATCGCACTCCGCGACGCAGTGCGCGGCATCGGGATGTTCCAGCGAATGGAAGTGCCCGTGCTCGGAATGGTACGCAATATGGCATATTTCGCGTGTCCACAGTGCGGGACTCAGACCCGTATATTTTCGCATGGTGATAGCCACCACCACGCGCACGGTGAGAACCACGGCGTCGTGGCTGAGTGCAAGCGGCTCGGAGTGGACTTTCTCGGTGACATCCCTCTGGATGCTCGGGTGTGCGAGGATGCTGATCGTGGAATGCCGACTGTTGTTGCTGAGGAGAATGTTGAGCGCAGTGCGAGGCGGGAGGCTTTCCTTGGAGTTGCTGAGCAGGTAGCTCGGAAGATTGGTCTTGATTGGCACTGAAGGGTCGACTCATCTTGCCCAGACGTAGAGTTATGAACATTGTGTATTATTATATCAGACTCCCATATCCGGTGGCTGGCTACTGGCTATTTATCTCGGCATTCCGTTTATCTGGGTATAGACTGTATTTATTCTCAGAACTATGTACTTCCATCTACAAATGATGGTCGACTGCTAGAGGCCTAGTAATTGACTGCAAAAAGGGTATATCCAACACAAGGAAAATAACAAAAGGAAATGCCAAGTCGCTGCACATAGTTTCAACAAAAGAGCCAGCAATCGAAGGAAACTTGGACATATTTAAAACGACTGTTCAAGAGGATACGGATATGTCCGTAAAGCAATTCTACAAAGCTTACTCGGCGGTTTTGAAAACCTCCCTGTCCGGTATTTCAGGACGGTGGGATGTGGAGTCTCGACCAGCCGCGGAGAAAACAGATAGAGTATCTGTGGAAGGACGGCCATTCTCGCTAACCAAGGGGGCAATAATACCCCGCGCGCCAGTCACAGCTTGGGTGCTAGCAGTATCGGATGCCATGTTTGTATAGGCGACGGAGTCCTTGTCGCCGCCAACGGTACTGGTAGTCTCCGACAACATTTCGCTTCGGTCAGCGGCTGATCCTGCAGCGGATGATGACCGGTACCTGCTGTGAGCTAAGGAAAGATCGGATTTCATCGGGAGAGAGCCTGTTGCGTGAAAGAGAGCCCTCGTGCTGGCGTGCTCATCCGTGAATTTGTGATTGTTCACCCCGGGCAAGATAAGGATCGGAGCAGCACTTTTCTGTGAGACGGGTCGAGATGCAGCCTCGGAATCTGTAGACATGCGTCCAATAGAAGAATCGCCGTTACTGAGGTATTCCTTTCTATCCTGGTTGGCTGCCGTCGGCTGCGATTTGTTGTCGGTGAGGTCTTTATCTGTTCTGCTTTGGGGATTCGTCGCTGGAGTGCTAGACCATGTTCCGGCCTGCCCATTATCAGTGCTGACACGGGTGGCACGTCTGCCCGATTGCTCGATCCGATTCTCCATTTCCATTCTGCGCTCGTCATGTTTGCTTCCCCAGCCGCTCCACATCATCATGCCGTAGTTCTTCTTGGCATGTCGTTTTGGTAGGACGCCAGGAGCAGCTCGCCGGGCGGCCAAAGAGCTCGGGGGAGGACATTCGCCATCAAAGTCTTGGAAGCCATGCGCCAGCTCTATCAGGCGTCGCCTCTGAACCCGAAGTTTTTCCTTCGAAAATCTGATATCCCATTCCTTCTTTGCATCCAGCCACATTCGAATGAGCACGGGGTTGATTGCCCCGATTTGGGCAGGGGGAATTTGTAACGATGAGTAGGAAGAGGGAGTGTCTAGCGGGAAGACATGTCCTCGTTTATCAATTCGTTGGCGTATCATGTATTGATGGAACGCTGGAAGAGGATCTCCGGCCTTACCGACAGAGGAAGGCCCACGTGCGTTAGGCAGATTGGTCAATGCAGGTTGAGGCCCCGGCATATCTTCATCTTCTGAGCTGTTTGACGAAACGGGCGAAAGAGCACTATCATCCATAATATCGACCTCGCCGTGCTGTGCACGCGCCAAGGCCCAAGAGCCGAACTGGGAAATGGAACGGAACATGTACTTGGCTGGTCGCGTAAAGCTCAGAGTGGGAGCGACATGACATAGGTCGTCCCAGACCTGAAGTTGTACATAAGTCGGTTCGTACTTGTTCAAAATCTCCCGGGTGGGATCATTCTCATCGAGATATACGTCGCTCGGTGGGTATGCCGATGGATTGGCCGCTTTGTGGGCGATGTAGAATTGCTCGTCACGAAGCGTTTCGCCGCCGCCGCTCAATATTTGTAGAGGAGGCAGGCCACCCAGAGAGGGTTGTAGGACTGGCGAAACAAGAGGGTGGGACATGAGCTGGTTCGTCGTGTAAAACTGGATTTGGTCCTTGAGTTCGACTGTTTTCCCGCCCAAGGCAACGTGAATATTATCGGGTTCGGCATCCAAACTAGCAGGATCCGGGGCTTGCTGCTCGCCAGGGTAGGAATATTCGGCTGCAGGGTTCTCATGGATAGTATAACCGCGGATAGCAGTCTCTTCAGCACTGCTGCGCGGTTGGGGAATAGCCTTATTGAGATCCTCGGAAGTCACTATTGGTTGGCGCGACAGTCTTTTCATTTCCAGGATATCATCAGCATTAGGAGGAGGCCAAGCGGACGAGGGTTTATGGCGGAAGCCATAGGCAGGAATATAATCACCTGGGTTGTCCTGAACAATACTCGGGAAAGAGTGTGTTAAATCAACCCAGGGTGAGATCAAGATGGCGCCCGCGGGTAAGGGAATACCCTGGTCTCTCATAACGACCAGCATCGATAGAGCCAAGCCTCCGCCCGCAGAGTCACCGGCAAGAATGATTTCCTTTGGTTCATAGGACTTGAGCAGCCAGAGATAAGCCGCCATGCAGTCATGCAAACCACATGGGAAAGGAAACTGCGGCGCCAGTCGATACTCCGGTGCAAATACACGTCCCTTCAGTTTACGCGCATGGCGCTGCATCATGTACCGATGCGTGTCGACACTTCCGAAGAAATAGGCCCCACCATGGACATACAGCATCACACGGTTACAATGCCCACCGGCCCCCTCCGTTTGAGCGTAGTGGCTCCGCATCTCAATCCACTCCCCCTTCATCTCTTCGGATGGCCCGCGCCATTGCCACCATTTCTCTCCTCCCACCCGTACGATACCTTTGGGGCCCAGCTGCTTTTTGACAGCGTCCGCAGCAGAGCGCAAGAACTCGTCCGGGATTGTGACGGTCTCGGTTCTCACCCAATGTGGACTTGGGACCCATTGGCGAGTGAACGCCTGGAAGTCTTCGACGGGGTGTTTGGATGCATAAAATAGGAATTGGCGAATGATATGGATACCTTCATCGTAGGTAATGTGAACGGTGGGTTTGTCCCGTAACGATTTACGATGCAGGTACTATGGATCATGCGCTATCAGCAAGACAATCCTTACCCTATCAGGGTATTCCACAACTTACGTGACTGATGAGAGTATGAAGGACAGTGGGAGTCAATGCCACACCTAGTGCGACTGTATGTAATGGCATAATTGTTCTGTTCGGTGGAAAGAGAGTAGCAGGATTCTAACTGTCGCAAAATCCAAGGAAACCAAAACTAGGAATCAGACTTAAATGAAAGACAAAAGCGAAGATCGGTCGCAAAATGGGCCGACGTCATTTAAAGAGTGCAAGGGGATTGGAAGAAGAAAAGAAGAACATCCAAACCCAAACGAGAGGCGATGATGTCACCGGGCCTCGGGGAAACCGATCTGCACCTGACCTCCGATCACTTACCCCATACCTCCAGCCTTTACAAATTAGGTCTCCTCGGTCTTCCAATCCAACTGACATTCACAATATAAACCATGGCGATGACACCAGCAACAATACTAGTTGCAATGACCGCCCGACGCGGTGCTTTCGCAAGCTTGAATCCAAGCCCAACATTGATGATACCCAGAATCATCATCAACCGTCCAAACCAGCGATGCGTATAGGCAAAAGGTCCTTTTCTACCTGTCTTCCGGAAGAATCGATGCTGCAATACACCCATAGCAGGCTGGAAAAGAATAAGGCTTGGTACGATGATCATCCCTAGGATGGTATGGTAAGAGTTGACCAAATCAATCTGTCGTGCGAGGGAAACACCAACTCCAAAGCCCGCGATTGCCACGGTCAGAGTGAGGAGTTGGAACGTTCCGTGAATGTCCACTGTCCATTTCGATGGGAAGAGATGAAGCCCGAGCGCGAAGAAAGGGAACATGACCACAAAAGCCAGAACCATGAGCACAGCATGGGCTGTCTTTTTCCTCTTGACTGTTCGTTGCAAGGCTGCAAATGCCGGATCTTCACTGGGAGAGATGGGCACTCGGGCTATTTGGGCGAAGGGATTCACTGAACTGCCGCCCGTCGCTTTTTTCAGGTCGACATTCATGACACCGTAATCATCATGTTGGGTGATACCCTCAGATAAACTGACCGAATTCAGGGGCTCTCCATATTTAACGGACCAAACCCATGGACTTGAGGGGCTGTTCACGTTTTCTGTTCCCCCATTCCATTTTAGGCAGGTATCGCAAATCGAACATTGGCAGTGATAACTCCGTCGTGTACACCACTACCATTCAGAATGGTGATCTGGGCGTCCTTGTTATACAACGGTTCAATTTCCCCAACACCAGACCGCGGAGAAACGGTGACCTTGTTGCCAGACGTGTACACGACAAACATATTGGCGCCTGCCATTTGCATTCCTTGGCCCAAGGCAAACCACTGCACTTGGCGAGTAGAATTTATTTGAAAGTATATGGGGCCCGAGCCTGACTCAGCAGTATTGTCGGGGACATTGAAGCTATAGGTGATCTCACTGTGGCCTTGCGGATGAATGCTATGAACTTGGGCCAGGGCAGGAATGGCCCAGAGCCAAGCGAAAATATGCCGAACCATTGAAAAAAATTGAGATTGACTTATGATCTAACAAGGGGGTCATCCCAATAAATACCCTCAACTCTTTGTTGCACGGTTGACACACCAATTGGGCTGCGTCAGGCCAAGTCTTTGTGGCTGTGACTTATGAATTTCTTACAGACATTTGGAATACCTGTCAATTGGTTGAAATATTATCTTACACGATGTTGTCGTTTTGTGTCTGAGCTACCTAAAGTCAAAGGTAAGACGACTTTGCTGCGCCTCCCCATGTCAAACATGATCAGTGTCGGGTCAGCCGCATCAATTATCAAGGCTACGGCAATTCTCAGTGAGGTCTTATTATTGGGGACATATGAGTGGTCAACCGACATTGATGGCTAGAGAAATGTCCATAAAATTCCGGTGTGCCTATGCTTTTGGAGTATTCAACCGATGCAGTAATGGGGAAATAAAGTTAGGCATAGCTTCAAGCTTATATCTGTGTTTATACGAGGTCAAGGGTGTCATACGAGGGGAAAAGAAGACAGTTAGTTATACAGCATCTCATTTACTGTCAAACTATCTGTCAAACTATCTGTCGGGATAAGGACGTCCTCTATTGCAATGCATAATGACGTCCTCTTTGCTCTTGAATTTTCCTTCTCGAACGCCTAGCAACGCTACAATTAAACCTACCGATGAATACGGCTTCACCCTTGTCTCTCCCAAGAAAAGGTCGAGGTTCATTTCGACCTGCAGAGTCATTCAGTGTCCGAAGCCTTTCTTTGTAACCTCTGCTATCCTATCGTAGAAAAGTGGGTTCGTCCCAACCCTGTCTCTACTACATACTTCTTAGACTGATAACCTTACATAATATTGAGACAATGCAGGAAGCCCCAAGGTCCCTTTCCACGCGGTACATAACGGCACTCTCCACGGAGAATATTCCCACTTTTTTAGGAAGATAGACAAAATGAGCTCAAATGATTGCAGAGGATATTGTCGATCGCATTCTCGTCCCTTTCTTGGCAACGCAGAAGGTCCCCAGGAACGAAGTGTGGGATGCACTAACAAGTTGAACATAAAAGCTACAATCCATTCCAGATGCTGATGCTGAGCTCAATCACAGACACCATGCTTGGCAAATCATATTTCGCAGTGGTTATGATGGCCGCTCAGGCTTTGCCTGTATTCGGAGCGACGAGGGAACGAGAAATGGTCAAAGTGACAGTCTCCGAGACGGTTCGAGGTGGTGAACTAGCTAACATTCACCTCGACTGGCTTGGCCAACCGCCAACTTTGATCAAATCTGTCTATGCGCCCTGTGACAATGAACATTCATTGGCAAAAGAGCAAATTATCGGACAGTTTTCATTTCATGGTCACCCTCCACAGCGACTGGTTTGGGTGGTTCCAGATGAGGCTCCGACGCACCATTGTGTTTACATATATGGGTCTGGCGGCCCAAATATGACGCAAAGGGTCTTAGGCAAAAGCAGTCCTGTCTCCTTGCAGAAGAAGCCTAGGAAACGATCCACGGCAGACACCATCCCATTGCTGAAGGACTTTGATGCGCAGGGAGCATGGTTCGACGGAGTGGCCAAAATCAAAGACAAAGTGGAAAGCAGCGGAGGCGTTGCTTCAAAAGGTTCACCAAAGAATACCTCAATCGCAATTGTTGGAGGCGGGATCTCCGGACTTGCAACGGGTTTGATGCTAGACAGCGTCGGTATACATAACTGGGAGATCATCGAAGCCAGCGACCGCGTTGGGGGCAGATTCCGGACGAAATATGTCGCGGACACTCAAGAGTGGGCTGAGATGGGACCGATGAGACTTCCGTACTCTGTCACTTACAGAGATGACAATGAGACCCTCCTGTATTCTGATCATCAGTTGACTTTCCAAATGGCCAACATCTTGAACAACATGAACAAGAATGACTCGCAGTGGAGGATTGATTTCATCCCCTGGATCCAACACAGTCCCAATGAGTTATATGCTCAAGGAACTCGCCGTCATCCCGATGGAAGAATCCCAACTCGCGCTGAGATCGAGGAGGATCCAAGCCTGAAGGACGCCTCAGAAATGACGAGCGCCGTATACAGCAAGACCGAGGATCAGATGAACAAAATTCTAAAAGATGAAAAGACTCTCAAATCTCTTCAGAAGGATGTCTGGAGAGCCCACAAGACCGCCATGGACCAGGGTCTCGATGACTGGAGCGAACAGGCAATGATGCGACATGTCTTCAAAGCCAGTCAGAACATCACCGACGAGATCTGGACCTCCTCCGACTACGATGTATTCTGGGACGAGCTGCATCATAACTCCAATCTCGGCCTAGATGGAAGCAAGGACAGTCTGGGCGAAACAAAATGGCTCTGCATCGATAGAGGATTCAACCGCCTGTCCGAAGCTTTTCTTCCTCACGTCCGCGACAGGCTTACTCTCAATCGAAAAGTTCGGAAACTCGAATCAGTCAAGGGCAGTGATAGTCACACCCGCACTCGACTGTCATGGTACCCCAATGTCTCGAATCGCACCTTTGAGTCCAAAGAGTACGACTACACAATCATGGCAGCGCCATTTACCATGACCCGCTTCATGGATCTACCCAAATTCTCCTCGGTCTTAGACCGCGCGATCAGCGAAGCAGGTCTACGCTTCAAGTCCGCCTGCAAAGTAGCCCTGTTATTCTCCGAGCGATTCTGGGAAAAGGGCGACCGACCGATTTTCGGCGGCTACTCCAAGCCATTAAGTGACTCAGTCGGTGCACTCTACTACCCCGTCTACGGACTCAACGAGTCCCGCCCGGGTCTGATCATGCACTATCGAGGCGGCGATTGGAGCGACCGGTTTGTGAGTTTCTCCGACGAAGAACACGTCCAGACAGTGCTGGATTCGATTGTCAGCCTGCACGGTGAACAAGCACGCGACCTTTACACGGGTGATTATGAGCGCCTCTGCTGGCTTCAAGATGAATATACTGCGACTTCTTGGTGTCGGCCGGATGTTGCACAACATCAACTATACATTCCGGCTTATCATCAGACGGAGCATAACACCATTTTCATTGGAGAGCACACTGCGCCAACGCAGGCTTGGGTTAGTTCTTCGCTGCATTCTTCCGTTCGTGGGTCGGTTCAGCTGCTGCTGGAGTTGGGTTTGGTGGATGAGGCGAAAGAACTTAACCAGCGGTGGATGGGGAGATGGATCAAGCTATGATGTTTCTGTCAAGCTCCTTGGTTTACAGTATATCGTAGCTTACTCTAATTAAACCATTTTCGGTATTTTTTAAAAAGATTTATGATAGTATAGTATTAAAACCATTATCGATGGGGGACAGTGCCGGTAAAAGCTACGAATTTACTGAATACACTCATAGTTGGAAGCGCTTGAAAATTAAATTGCTTAGAAAACACTAGTACATGACGGGCATAAGAGGGTTGCAATGTAAAGACAGTCGAATAGACATTCGTGGCTCCTTGTTGCGTATTGAGACGTGGGCACCTTTTGTGCGGGATGTGTGAGCAATGAACAATCACTCAATGGTAATCTTCTTGGTGGTCGAGGTAGTGGCCTTGGGCACAATAATAGACAGAATGCCATTGGTGAGGCTGGCCTTGACCTTGTCCTGATCGACACTAACGGGGAAGGAGAAGGTACGTTGGAATTCTCCAACCGATCGCTCGCTGGCCCAGTAGCGGTAAGTGGGCTCAGACTTTTGCTCAGACTTTTGTTCAGACTTCTGCTCAACCTCATCGCCCTGCGCTTCAGTCTCGGGCACAGAGGTGTGGTACTCGCGTTCCGCGCGACCCTTCACATTCAGGGTCTGGGGGTCGGAGAACTCGATGTCGATATCCTTTTGAGAGAGACCAGGTAGTTCGCCGTCGAGGTGGTAAGAGTCATCGCTTTCGCGGACGTCAAAGCGAGGGGAGAACGAGCGAGCTGCAGGCTGGCTACGACCGGAGCGGTGGACATCATAGTCGTCAAGGAGACGAAAGAGGGGAGCGAAGTCACTGGAACCAGGAAGGCTGGCACGCAAGAGAGACATTTTGTTGAATAGATCAGATATGCTTGGAGAGCAGGAAGTAGTGATAACTTGGCTTGTGAGGATGTGTTGATGATGAGGAAAACGGTGGGTAGTTGGGGGGCATTATATAGCCAGAGGACCTCTCTTCTCGAAACTACCCTCCATATTTCAGGCAATTTCTGGAATATACCACAATTGCATCATGAGATAAACTGCCCGGCTTGTTGTTTCCAGCTGTCAGTTTGTTACTTCTCCAAGATACTAGATGCTTCTCCACATTTCCACCACGTGACACGAAACCATAGGGCTATTTTTGGTTCAAGAAGCAAGAACGGAAACAAATAAAAGAAGAATATATACTTAGGGCTTATGTGAAGGCCAATCAGAACAGTTGTCAAACAAGTATAATGCTGCTTATATCCGACGCCCTATGTCTATATACAGTTAAGGCATTAAAACATTCAAATGCCAGAGATCCATTGCCAAGAGGGGTTGGAGAACAAGTCTTATAAAGAGACCCGAATAATAGAATAATAGAATAATAGTAAAAAAAAAAAATGAAGAGGGATGTTGAATCTTAATGCACAGAAAGGGTCATCGGCGCGGTACAATCAGGCTATAGAGGCTTAGAATGACGGGCTAGGGCTACTTAACTTTGCTGGAGTATGCGGAGCAACTCGAACGTGCGTTCGTACAACAGCAGTGTTGGACATTAAAGACGGACGAAATAGTCGGGATGTCTGTTGCTTTCCAACTTACTTCAATTTTCAACATAGTTTGTTAGGATTGCTAGCATTTTGGAGAAACTCCTCTCTTGCGCTGTGATTGGTGACTTCCCAATATTTCTAGGCGCCTAATATTTCAGGCTCCATTCTAACCCGGTCAAGTCTGGCAGAATCTCGGCTTGGCCAATTTCGTCCCTCTTAAGATCAATTATCAGTTCACTCTGCACTTTTGTCTGACTGGCTCGGATTGAATGAGATAAATCTGACACTAAAAGACTGTCTCGTCGACTTTAAATCATCGGTCCATTGGCTCATAGACTCCCTCGGCGGTGAACGCCGAAGTGCAGTGCCTACCAATCCCTGCCGTCCACGTTTGGGCTCGATTAGGCAAGAAATACACATATTGCTCCTTCCATAACTCTCCGTACACCCGAGTCACCACAAATTTGGTAAACAACACGTCAATCCCTCTCTTATCTATCATGGCTTCACCCACAGCAGCCGTTGACAAGTTATTTGTCTGTCCTGGATGTCAGAGAGGTGGCTTCAAAAGCATGGGTGCTGTCAAGGCTCATTTTGAGTCTAAAGGCCACAAACTCGCTTGCAGTCCATGCGACAAATCTTTTGGGAATGTAACGGCGTTGCTCAAGCACTCCCAGAAGCATGAAAAGCCCCTAGATGGTTCCGATCTCAAGTCGGTCAAGTCGGCCAAACCAGCACCAAAGAGCACGAAGCAACAGAGGTTCCCGGATCTGTCTGAGTCTTTTGTTAAAGCTGCAAACCCACCGCCCAAGATCACGAAGCCTAAAAGGTCACAGGATCCTTCTGAGCCCTTGTCTGTCAACCCTGCGAAATCCATTGCAAAGAAAACAAAGCCCGAGAAGTCACAGGAATTGCTTGCGTCTTTGGCTGCCAAACCTGCGAAACCCATTCCCAAAAAAATTAAGTTTGAGAAGTCCCTAGATCGGTCTGAAATAATGCCCGCCAAGCCTGCGAAACCAGCTCAAAAGCACACATCAAACCAGGCATCAGTAGGTGCTCCATTAAGGACAGACGATTTTGAAGACCTATGGACCAAGACTTCTGAACCCCTGAACATCTCATCGCCTGCCATCCAAAATGCCAATTACCATGTTTTGCTCGAGCCGCTCGAGCAAAATTTGATCTTTCGCTACTTGTCGGCACGATGTCACTCGGACACCCGTCTGGTCACACGAGGCTTTACCTTTCGGGATAGCTTGGCAGATGTCAGCAGGCGCCCGTCGAAGAAGCCCTCTCCAAAGACAGGACATTTCCGCCAAGTTCCTCGCCCCTCCGACAACTTGCCGAGAAGGAGAGCAATCGTTCTTGACTGTGAGATGGTGCAAGTCGAAGCAGGGCGTCGGGAGCTTGCTTTTTTAAGCGCGATTGACTTTTTGACTGGCGAGGTTCTCATCGACAACTATGTACAGCCGAAATCGAGAGTGGTGAATTGGGATTCTCGGTTCAGTGGGGTGACTCCTAGTGCCATGAACAAAGCTGTCAGGAAAGGGACAGCGTTGTTTGGCTGGGAAGAAGCGCGCTCGAAATTATGGGAGTTCATGGACAGCGAGACTATCCTCATTGGTCATTCTCTCAACAATGATCTTGACGTCTTGGGTATCATTCACTGGAACATTGTCGACTCCTCTATCATTACCAGCGAAGCGGTGTTTTACACTGTACACGCCGGTGAACCACTCAACCGCACATGGAGTCTGAAGACTCTGACCAATGAATTGGTCAATTATGATATCCAAGTCGGGAAACAGGGCCACAGTGCGCTAGAGGATGCACATGCAACACGGGATATTGTGATCTGGTGTCTGAGATACCCAGAGCACCTGAAGGTATGGGCGGACAATGCCCGGGATCAAGAGGAGCAGCGCATGTACGAGAGGGAATTGAAGAGGACGACCGAGGAGCAGGTCAGGGAGCAAAGAAGACAACATGATATGGAGATAAAGATGCAACTCTTATCTCAAGGCGTTGGTGGTTTGGGTCTTCATGGCATTGGCCTCTCTGATGATGATGCCAATGACCCTGATTCTTCTTTCGTCGACCGTGATGGTGACGTTGAATACGAATCGGTAACTATTGAAGCGGCTGCTGTTTCATTCTTCTGATACTACCATGTCTATAAGTATCTGTTAATTATGATGTTATATGATAATTCAATTACAAGTATTCAGCCGTGCAATCATTGCGCTAATCGCCCTTGCTCTCCTTCTCTTATAATATTCGACAAGGGATATGCCTTCGCGATGCAAAATTACAGGAGCGAATCCTATCCACAAGTCGATGCCACTCAAATTCAAAAGGCCATGACCTCAACCAACCGCAACCTCACAGCCTGGATGCACTGTTATACACAGTGACCTCTGCAGTCATCGACACCGTTCGTGTCTCCCCAGCAATACTAAGAGAGGTCTGCCATATGATCGAGTGACTCAACCTGGTATTGAAAGTGACAAAACTAGGCTGGATGCTAGCCACAAGACTGAGACGCTTCCCATCACTCATCAGACCATCGTGTCCAAGAACAAGGCGAAGTACCCTCCCAATATCAACGGGAGTATCACTCGGCCCAGCAAAAGTTACAATAGGATCCTTGAGCTGCTCAAACGCTTTCTCCAGCCCCAAATGCTGAACAAAGACATGTTCATCATTAGGAATGGTATAAAGGCTCTCCTCGCTCGGTTTGAGAACAATCTCCACTTTCGAAAGAATACTCATCTTAACCGCCGTAACCTCGACCCGTTGCACAACATCCCAAATAGCACTACTACTCCCGTCCCGCCGCGGAATAACCCTGATAAGAAGCGGAATCGGCGACGAGTTATCGAGTTGAATCGCAACCGGCACACCCATCACAACCTCAAAGCTGAATCCAGGAACGGAAGACAACCCAAGAATCTTCTGCGTCTTCTGCGTCAAGGATAACCCCACATCCCGCATCGACGGCAGCAGTCGCTGACTGCGCACCCGGCTCACGATACTGCACCGCTGCAGCGCAAACCGGATCCCGCCCGCGTCGACGTTCGGATGGGCCAGCGTGACGGGCGCTGTCGCGCGCTGCACCCGCCACGACCCATTGCGCATATACCGCAGCTGCGCCTGGAGATAGTACTCGATGCAGACCTTCGCCCCGCTCCATTCGGTGTAAAACGTTCCGGGTAACGGGTGTTGTGTGATGCAGCTTGCTTCTAGGGGGACGAAGCTCTCTTCTTGTGAGTGGTCGCGCACTGCTGAGAGCGAAGCTGCTTCGGGGATATTAATTGAGAAGGGGATGTTGATCCAGTCGGTTGGGGTGCTGGGGGAGGGTATGTGGATAGGTCCACGTAACAGGGTCTGTGGGGGCAAGTGGAAAAGCTTCCAGTTGCCGTGGCTTGTGGTTTTTGTTGGGTAGCCTTCTGTTATTAAGCGGGCTTTTGTACGCCCGATCAATGTAAGTGCGATCTTGGCGTCTGGGGCCACGAGGTGCGAGTGGCGGTTCACGCTGCCGATTATTGTATCCCCTGCGGCGTATGTCCATATTGGAGGCGCCGCGATGGATATATTGAGGTTAGGACCTCCGGTTGCCTGGGTGGGATGCATGGCTTCATGGTGGAGGGGGAAATTCTTTGAAAGGAATTTCGGTCAAGCCACTAGTTTCTTACATAACTCAGGCAGGGGGCTAGGCTATTAGCCAAAATAAGGCCGTTAGCTGTCACAAATAAGGAATTGCGAATTGTGGAGATGAGCTCTGCAAGGATAGTATGGGGTAGACGGGTCAGGCAAAGGCAAGCGGGGATGTCGAGGGAAACTCCCATAGCTCACATTCCGATACAGTGGCTGTAGGGAAAGAAATAAACCCTATGAGTTGAATCATATCTCTCTTGCTACATGGTTTTTGCCTGTTAACCTCGACCTCGACCTCGACTTTGTTTGTGCACTTCCAAGGTTGCCAGCCAGGCCCACTTTTAGTCGTAACTCCAGATGAACTAACCAGGTAGTTAACAACTATTAACTAACTAACTAGGTCAGATTAATGAACTACATGGACAGAGGCATAAGTCGAGTTTTCTTGTAACACCTACATATGTTGGGAGGCAGACATAATCGTTCGAAGCGATGCACCAATTCTCCATCAACTACACATACCTGACCATCTATACTACCTACAACGATTAAGACAAAATACTACAACATACGGTGTACCCAAGCAAATACCAGAATCAAAATCAATAAATCCGGGTATCAAATTCGCACTCGAAAGTGCATACATACAACCTCCTCTCGCAGACAAAGTTCATACATACAAGTACAGTTCCAAGGCAGGTCGAGAATCCCACCAGCTCACTATAAAGTAGACAAGACAAGTCGAAAGTCTCGAGTCGAGCAGGGGGGATCCTCAATCAGACCCCGATAACCTACAAGACACAATAACAAAAAGGATGCACGTCGAAATAATTTCGAGGTCACTGTGCGCCCGCTCAGACGCCGTGTAAAAATAAAAGCCAACCAAGACGCCGCGTGCATCAACGATGCGGAATGTGTATAGTCGTAGCCACCGGTGACGGAGATAATATCAGCATGTGAAGGGGTAAAAGTAAAGTAAAGGTGAGGTCGTTCCACGTATTCCCGGTGTACACCCATGTACCGAGAGTGGAGGGTATCATGTAGCGTGGGATAATATTTCAAGGTAGGGAGGTGATGCAGCTTTCGTGAAGCTGACAATGAGATGTATCACTCATTGGCCTGCTCGATTCTGGCAGGCTGTTGGAGTCATTATGACTTCCGGGCTCTGCAGAGCCATGACCGCCACCATTTGCAAACTCCGAGAACGGCGGTGCGGCCGTCGTCCTTTCGCTCGGTGCCGTCCGGGTTACCTAGGACCATGGAGAAGACCCAGAAAAATGCGGCTGTCCATGCGAAGAGGAGGATCACAATGCTGAGTAACGGGGATAAGAGCAGTACGAAGATTGAACTAGTCACGGCATAGACCTCGCTCGGCTCGGATAGCACTGACGGCTGGTCTGAATCTGGCTCTGAGCGGATCCATTGGGTCGATTGGGTCGATGACGATCGGTCTTCCACTGATGGTGGCTGCAAGCAAACGAGCCGTTCGTGGATGTGGAGGATAGGAGAAAGGAGATCGCAAAGTTGTGATGCGAACGTCGTTGCGCAGAGGTATGGAGAAAATGAGCAGAGGCGGAAAGGTGAAACAAAGAGTGCGAAGAGGAGGGCGAATATAGTGTATAGAGTAGCGCCGAGTGAGTAGAATGGGATGATAGTGAGACGGAACTGCCAGTTTGTATTAGCATAGAAGTATTAGACCGCTATATTGCGCACGTACCAGCATTAGAAGAGCATCCTGGCCCTCATTGGTGATTATCTCAACATTCGAAATGGGTCGTTTTCGGACACGGGTTATGCTCGGGTTGGAAAGTTCCCCCGACATTACTGACGGCTGGTCTGCCCAGCTGCTTGTCGCCCGCTCTTCCTTGTGTGCACCACTTAATGTCGAGCCGCCATCCCGAGCATCTGAGCCGGGCCAGGCAGTTCCTCCCAGTGTCTGAGTATGGTACACACGGTGTTGCCGTGATCCGGAGGTGCGGGGACTGGCATCGCGGCTTGGTATAGGAGAGGAGGTTCGAGATTCGCCTACAGGGTGACCCAATACGGAGGACTGTTCTTGGGAATGACGGGTAGCCGGAGGTGGGGTAACAATCGAGCTGCGAGGGTTTGGTCCTTGATCGTGATAGTAGGCGGGACTATATGACATCTCCGGGGACCGCATGGCGGGCGAGGATATAAAAGGCAAGAGGTGAAGACGGAGCAAGAGTCGTACAAGGTAGACGCACAGAGGGCGACTATTGCATGTAGAATTCACCGCATGGTTTCCGTAATCGTGATCTTTCTGGCATAAGGGGCTCTCAGTGGACAAGTTGGAGGGTGAAGGGGTTGGGCAGAGAGGGCGGAAGAGAGACTTATAAGAGAGCACGGAGAGCCGCAGCTTGAAAGAGCGGAAAAGCCAGGAAAGGCCAGGAAAGGCCGTGTCAGGCAGCGGAAGAGCATTTCCTGCTGTTTGCAATCCCTCTCGCCAAGACGCCCAGATGCCGAGCCCTTGGCATTGAGTTGAGCACAATAATCATTTGTGGGTATGCTGCTGATCCTTTTATCTCAGATCCCGATCATGGCTATATTCGGCCTGTTCGATAACAGGGTAGGGTTGTGTTGGACAAGATGTGCAGCTGTCCTACCATGAGACCAAAGATGCTGAGCGGCCTAGGGGTCAAAGGATGAATTACGACATTTTACCACCTGCCAAGACGCCAAGCCGCCATCGGGGTTGATAAGTCGACTATTCCCGGCCTCTGATTGGTCAACCGTGGCGAGATGATCCGCGCTGAGACGAGGGCTGGAGTCTTGGCGGTAACAGCCGTACGCACGTGATGACATGTATTGCTCCTATTGCCCAATGTATATAATCCTGGCATCTTCCAATGTGACGGAGAGATGTTCACGTTGTATGATATGTGATCTACTACTCAGAGAAGTGAGCTGAGCAGAACCTCACAGGGCTACTATATACACGGGTGCGTACCGCCAAATCAGGGGGTCAACACGGTACTCCCCAAAGAGGAGACGCCCAGAGGTCGGCGGGTGTTGGCATTCGATTTCGGAGAAATATTCTCAGATTCCTCAGTATCTCTTACCTAACTTTCCCCAATGATTGTCCTGGGTTTGCCAAGGGATAGTATTGGCCAATATAGATACTCCGTACGGGATACCTATCTGATATCCTTGCCAGACAGGAAGAGTCTTGGAAGTCTTGGCTTTCTGACCCTTTCATTCCGCTGCCCCGTCGAGATGAATCCGATTATCTCAGCGAATCAACACATCCGACGTCCGCCTCAGATCCAGAATTTGCTTTCCCCTCGATGAATTTCAGCTCTTGGCTTGTAGGGTTTTTCTGTCTGGATGTCTGGGCACTGTATACAAAACCGTATTCTCTGCTTGGCTGCCCCGGTGAGCGGTCAAGAGTGACTCATTGCGCGTTCTGTGCTCGGCAACCCTCTGTCGAGACTGTTGGTTTCCCTTTATTTACGGCTGCACGCTGTCCAAACTCCCTTGGCTGTCAGTCTTTACCAAGAATCATGCGCCTTTCCTCAAACTCAGCCCATGAGCAACCACACATCTGCCATCAGCCAAGCACGCAAAGGCATGGCATAACAATGACAGGTGGCGAGTGCAGATCTATCATATCCCCGAAATCCGGGCGCTGTTCTAAACCACCTAACATGAGTGGTCGTGGCCTGCTCGTGCGCTGGCCATGGATCACCGTCAAAAATGATCGACTCTTCCATATCTCTCAAATCTCACAGATATCCGGTCGACCGATTTTTCTATCATTGGTCGCATATTCCGCTGGAAAAGACAGGTAAGATGTTATATATGAAGACACTTTCCCCCCTCAACCCCTCGCAGAGCTGAGATCGTTATCTCCAAGCAAATCTCTTCTGAGCAGCTCTCCCGGCTATTCATCCACGAGTCACCACCCACGCCCCACGGCATATATACGTTCAGCTTCCTTCCAGAGCTTTCCTCACCCATATGGTTGTTTTGCACTGATGTTTCCAGCATATTGTCCATATCGCAAGCTCATCGAACCCACGATGAATCTTCGCCGGCACTGTCGAATCGCATAATCATTCAGAACGTGAGATTCAGGAGCTTGGAAACAAATTACCGAAGCTGTCACTAAAATTCCGAACGGCATCTCGCTATTCTTCGCCAATTTTAGCATTACTTACAAAGGATTTGTGCATGCTTATGCGCTCGATCCTTAATCTTCGGTTCCTTGTACTGGCTTACAAATGGCTCTTTTCTGGACCTGCCCGTGGTTCCTTTACTCCGTACTGAATTTCTGCATCTCAACCAAACTGACGAACCCCGAGTTGATAAAGTATATCCTACGTCATAGACTCTCCATCATGGCTAAGACGCGTTCTTGGTGTCCACGGGGACCCTTTCTTTGTGTACGTTGTATGGATTTCATACTATTTGTTCCACCTTGGTATTATCTTGAATATATCTTCAAACACTCTGCAAATGAGGTTTCCTACTCCAGACATCCAAGCTACAGGTGGTCACGTGCTCATCCATTGGGAAGGTTGGCTTTTAGACAGTTGAGAGAAATATGAATTTAAGTGCTTTTTCTTTTATTGCTGAGATGTGTAGTCCTCGATCGGAATGTCGTATAATCGCCCTACAGAGAAGTGATTCAAATTCCGAATTGAGGACTCGAATTCATAGCGAATATATAATGCCGATCTGAGGTTTCGAATGCAACAAGCGATCCCCAAAAACTCCTAATTCAAAATTGAAGTAGTTTATATGTTCAATAGTCTGTACTCTAGTAACCCCACTCACAAAAAATAATCCAGGTTCCCCCATTCGTGGCTGACGGGGGCTTGCAGCCACAAGTGATCAAGATGTGATGCAACCAGCCGACTCAGCCCGCATCAATCACTGCTTGGTCTTATTGGCTCAACGGTACCTGAAAGGACCCGGGCCGCGTTGAGGGCTTGCCTTGGGGTAATGCAACTATGAGACCATAGACCCGATCCTTTAAACCTAACATCAAATGATAAGCATCCTCCCAGGTCATCATACACGACTAGACTTATATCCCTCGGGCCTCATCGCCAACACATAGCAACACAGACATGTTACCCAACAGAAAGTACCTGACACAAGAAGTATCTGTGCCCCACGTCCTTGAACGCATCTGCATCGAGCCCGGTTGGAAATGGCGCACTCTTAGGCCAACCTTGGAATCTCCCCACGATCCCTATCTTATCACTGATCGGGGAGGGTAGAAAATGGACGCATCTGTTCTGGCGTTTTGGTCTTTGTCGAGGTCATACAAATCGAACATCTGTCTCTCCCAACTAGACCGGTCTTCAATCCCTGCACTCTGGACTATCAGGTCTTGGCAAGACATGACTTGAAACTTTATGTTTTATTTTTTTGGCTTTGAGTTGCCTTGCTTTTTTAATTTCCTCATACGATGTGACTGGCGATGGGCGTGTGATATTCACTGCGAGGTAGAGTGTGGTCTACCGTTGACCGTGCAGATACGCCACGCCCGAGAAGAACTCAATTTGAGGATACGTATACAACAGTTTGTATGGATTTGCTTGACGGCGCTCTTTCACTGGTCAACTCGGAAGCGCCAGTGATTTCTATTCCTGTCCATTCTAGCCTTGTTCCCTGGCCCACACACCCCCCTGCCTCGATTCTAACTCTGGAATCGTGTCGCACGGTCATACCCACCGCCTCGGAGCATGGCGTCTGCGAAATCCCGTCGCAGGGGGCGTTGGTTCTTACTATTTATTTACGGTCTCAGGATAGAAGTCATGGGGGTCTCCACAGTGGACACAGCGATGGGACCGCGATGCAGAGGCATGCGCGCGGCTGATCTGTCTCTGGTCGGGCCATTACTGTGATCCCGGCGGTGCTTTTGCTTTTGCTTGCTTTTGACATGCTTCCGAGATTTGCATTTACAGTGAAGGTGTTTTTTGAAGATTATATATTCTGCACTGATCAACCAAAGCTCGGCGAGAATACCGAATCCAAGATGGTAGAGGTTGAGACAGGGAATGAAAGAGAAAGAAAAAGAAAAAGAAAATATCAATTACTGCAAGTCACAGGTTTTGACTCGGTCGGCAAGTCGAAATAACAAGCTGCGTAACCCCAGAGATCTCTAGGAACCATATACAAAAGATAGTTCAACCGAGGCTGTTTTCTCCGTCTCACAACCCCCAACGGCAAAGACGGCGGCTCGGCTAGCAAACCCTGATGGAAATGAGGCGTACCCACGCACAAGTGGAGTCCATCATTGGGAGAAAATAAGGTACACACGTTCTTCAAGCCACGTATGTTGGATACCTACGTAGGTAGGTCTTGCAAATGTACTTTAGATGAGACAATGGTCAGCATATCAGTACACCGCAAGGGCCGCGACAACAGAATTCCACAGCGTCGTCGCGGTTGTCATATCCGGGAGTCTCCCGAGGTCCACTGGAAAATGTGTAATCAAGATCGGCGCATCCACAGGCATGCACCAGCCACAAGCACAGGGCCATTTTTCCTGTGGCTGACGAAAATTTAAAATGAAATAAGCTGTGGATACACGCTAAGCCGCTTAAAGCGGGTACAATAATGACGGAAGGGGCGAATATGCAAGTCAAGGTACCCTGCATGGGGACTCCAAACAAACCCATGGGCTTTGAAGGGGGTGCGACTTGGATTGTATACAATATACTCCGGAGAAAAATGGGAAAAAAAGGAGAGGGGACACAGGGTCACTCGACAGCTGCACCCTGCACAGTTCCGGGTTTGGTCTGTCTGTGCTGGTCTTGCAGGCTATTGACGTAGACGGAGTACGGAGTACATCCGGAGGAATTAGCTCTATATTCCATGGCTAGATACGGACAGATCGCATAAAGTACGAAGACCGGGACAAAGAAAATCAAGTCACTAAGAATGATCCCCGGAGGTAGTCTCCGTTCTCATTTGACGGGGGATTAAGTACGGACAGTCTAAAGTGCTGGGCAAAAGGGGGGGGGAACAAGGATCTGAGAAAGCCAATGCGGCTGCACGGCCCTGTGGGCTACATAGCACCACGGAGCACAGTCGCACTAACGCACCTTAGAGGCAACCACGGGGGGAGTCCCCACTCGGCGCCTTTTGCCGGGGGTTTGTGTGTTTGTGTTTTGAGAGAGATTGGGCATTATGGATTCATTAAAAGGGGAGAGACTATGAGTTAGAGTACATTTCTATACTTCTAGAAACTGCCCATAGAATAAATAACCATAACTCTTCTTATATGCTTAATTCTCTCATGAGATCATGGGTGGGTTTTGACCAAGAAAGGAAAAAAGAAAAAAAGAAAAAGCCAAAAAAGGAGAAAAGAAAATTCAAAAAACCCAAAACGGGCCAGAAAATAATAAAAAAGAAAAAAAGAAAACCAGCATAACCGCCTCCAGATCTTTCTCCACAACGCTAAGCCGTTCCTGAGTGTCAGCTTGGCTTATATAATCCGTCGTGACGGTCGGAGCTACCCAACCACTAGCGTCTCTTGGCGAATTTCACCTTTCCTGCCAGCCCCTCGACTCTTCCCTCTCTCTTCCCCCCTTAGGCATTCGGATCATCTTCAATTCGGACTTCCCCTTTCCCCACTGTATCGCCTTGTATCTTCGCCTCTTTCTTCAATCCTTTATTTTTGCTCGTCTACCCTCGCGCACCAAGCTCGACATAGCTGTGACCTAACCCGCTGCCCCGAGATTGTGTCACTGCCGTATCGCGCCACTCATATATCGTCGGGACAGCGCCAAGGTCTAGTCGATTTTGGAAAACTGCCGCCATTCACGGCTTGATAGTGTCGCGTGAGGGACCGTGACTTCTTTCGCGACCCGTTGTTTTTTTTTTTTTACCTTGTTCCTAGTCGATCGGAAATTGCGCCTCCGGATTGGCGTGCGATATCACACGAGCACACTTGATCGGTGTCTAATAGTGGTGTGAACTTGGATTGCATCATCGTGTCGCAAACCTACCCCGAGAGTTCGGTCGCGACACGGTTCAACTCAAACCATATTCACGATTCTCGGGAACCATGTCTCATACTCAACCATCGCCCACCACGGGCGTGGCTCCTCACCATGCCGCAGCGCATCTCGCTCATGCGCAAGCGCAGGCGCAGGCCAATGGTCATATGTCCGCAATTCCCGTGCAAGGTCAAAAGGGAGTCCCTACTCTCACCACCGCGCAAAAGATCGCCACACTCAATGAACAAGTCTGGCTTCAAATAGGTAAATATTCCCGATCATTATAATTTGGCGAATCCTGACAGCCTCGTTTGTAGGAAGCTTGACCGAATTGATGGGCGATCTGGAGGGTGCGATGAATGCCTACGAGCAGGCTCTGCGTCACAACCAGTGGTCTATCTCAGCGATGAATGCCATTTCATGCATTCTCCGGACAAAGGAGCAGTTTCCAAAAGCAATTGAGTACTTGCAAAATATTTTGAAGTTGGATCCGAGCAATGGCGAGACTTGGGGCAGCCTGGGCCACTGCCATCTTATGATGGATAATTTACAAGAGGCATACACCTCTTACCAGCAAGCCCTTTACCACTTGCGTGACCCCAAAGTAAGCCGTTTTCCCTTAACATTTTCCCTCGAATATTTCTCTGATTCAATTCTCTCATTAGGAACCCAAGCTGTGGTATGGAATCGGTATATTGTATGATCGCTATGGCTCTCTGGATCACGCGGAAGAGGCTTTCTCGCAAGTGATGCGCATGGCACCTGATTTCGAAAAGGCTAATGAGATCTACTTCCGCCTGGGAATCATATACAAGCAGCAGCAGAAGTTTAATCAGAGTTTGGAGGTATGTGAAATCTCTTCATATGAGCGAGAGCTGTCACTAACTCATCCTAGTGCTTCAAATACATTGTTAGCGATCCTCCACGCCCTCTGACCGAAGAAGACATCTGGTTCCAGATTGGCCATGTCCACGAGCAACAGAAAGACGTAAGTCATGCTTCCCTACACTCTTGATTACCTTGTACTCATTCAATCCTCAGTTTGAATCTGCCCAATCCGCGTACCAGCGCGTCCTGGAGCGAGATCCAAACCACGCCAAGGTTCTCCAGCAACTTGGTTGGCTCTATCACCAGCAGAGTAATGCTTTCCAAAGCCAGGAGAAGGCCATTCAGTTCCTGGAAAAGTCGGTCAATGCTGGTAAGTCACAATCCCCAGGACTATATACATTTGAAACTAATTCATCCTTTCCCTAGATAACAATGACGCTCAAAGCTGGTATCTCCTTGGTCGTTGCTACATGTCCATGGCGAAATACCCCAAGGCGTATGAAGCCTATCAGCAAGCGGTCTATCGCGACGGCCGCAACCCTACCTTCTGGTGCTCGATTGGTGTTCTTTACTACCAGATCAACCAATATCGCGATGCCCTCGATGCTTACTCTCGTGCGATCCGCCTGAACCCTTACATTTCAGAGGTCTGGTATGACCTGGGCACTTTGTACGAATCATGCAACAACCAGATTGCCGATGCTCTGGATGCCTACGGACGCGCCGCAGATCTTGACCCGAGCAACGTTCACATCAAGGCTCGTCTGCAGCTTCTTCAAAGCCAGTTGTCTGCTGGCACGGCTGGACAACAGCCACCTTCTGCCCCCGCGCCTCAGCCGCAGGATGTTCATCCTCAGGCTTATCAGGCACCTGGCGTTGGTGCACCTCCAGCTCCTCAGTGGGGTGCACCAGCCCCCATCGGTCCCCCTCCACAAGCTCCTGCACCCCCGAGACAGATTCCTGACTGGAACCGTGGGATCAACGAGCTTCAGTCTCAAAATCAAGCTCCCCCATCTAACGGCCTTGACCAGCGCGACGCTCGGATCCCCGGTGCTCCCGCTCAAAGCCCTCGACAGGAGCCTGGTCGGTCGTTCCCGGATCCCCGTGGCGCGCCTCGCTCGCCAAAGATGGGTGATCCCAACTCCTACCCGCCGCCTCACACTCTACCCCAGCTTGGAAATGCGCCTGGTCCAAGCCACGAACGCGCTCCTAGTGGCAGCAATGCCTTTGGTGCTCCGCGTGGTGCTCTGCCGAGTGGCCTGCCCGTCGCTCCTCCTGGTCCCCCTGGACCTCCTGGACCCAATGGCGGTGCTCCTCCCCCTCCTTACCAGAACCGCCCTTTCAGTCCTGCTCCTGAGATTCGCCCTATTCGCGAGGAGCGTCCCTCTTCGCCAGGTTCAGGATACCCCCTCCAACAGTTCCACCCCGGTCCTACCCTCCCCCCACAAGTTCCAGGTGGTAACTCCATCGCCTCTGGTGCCCCGGCCCCTGCTTCGGCTGCCACTGCTGCTGAGGCTGCCGCCCGTGATCGCGAAGATCGCCCCGCATCTGCAATGAAGCGCGGCCGCGAATGGGAAGCTGATGCTGGCCCAGTCAAGAAGCATGCAAATGAAGAGAGCCGGGCTCGTCTGGATGACCAGAATAACCGCCGCCCGAGCCCACCCGCTCGTTTGCCTTCTCCTGGTGAGATGCAACGACGAAGCTCCTCAGAGGCCCGCCGCGAGGACGCCCGTCGTGCCAATGAGAACTATCACCCCTCAGAAGCTGCTCACCACCCTCCTACTCTGCCTTCGATCCAAGACATGCCTCCCCGTCCTTCTGCTGGCCCCAGTCTTCCCCCGATGGCCGAGAGCTCTGCACCTGCACCTAACGCTCCCCCCACTGGACCTCCTTCCGCCAACACCCCGGTCAAGGAAGAAGCTCCTCGTCCTGAGGCTCCCCCTGCACACGAGCCCCCCGCGCGTAAGATGGATGTCGATGAAGACTACGATGATGAAGTTGAGGAAGAGAAGAAGGCTGCTGCTTCTAAGGGCAGCCCCAACGGCAGCACTGCTGGCAACCCCGCCAATGGTGCTGGAAATGCCCGTGCCAGTACTCCATCCAAGATCGAGCCTACGGCATAAAAATGATTCCTCTCCCAACCAGACTAGTGTCTGGCTAATCCTGGCAAAGCCGATTCCTTGCTTCTCCCTTCCTATCTTTCAGTGTGTGATGTACGGTACGAATGTGCGAGTTACGCTGACTGCGTAGTTTCAAGCGCGTGCGCTGAATACTCATGTCTGTTCGTTCTCTTCTTATGATTTCTTAGTCTCCTTTCACTGTGAATTTTTAATGGTGCATTAGGCACCCTTGAAGCAAAACATTTGTTTGATACTCTGAAATTTGGTAGAGTAAATTCATAATGTCTCCTTTTTTTCCCTCTGTAAGGTCCATATCTCATTCCAGCCCACATTGTGGATGTCCTAAAACCATATTTTGCTGGCCGTTTGCCTTGGCAGCAGGAAGACCCATAAAACTCGTGGGCCCGGAAAAACTGGACAGCACGTGACTGGACCAGGGCTGGATTAGATAATTTGGGTTATTGTGGGGTGCCTCAGGCTCAGATCCGCCAAGAGTCTCGCTTAGGTTAGCCCACACACCAAGCGTGCAAAATCAACTTCGACATTTCCAGATCGTCCTCCCACCACCTCGACGACTAACGATAACAGGGTCAAGATGTGAGTCTCTCCCGATTGAAGATTCCTATACAATCGCCATTGAATACAATTGCTGACCTGCTTTCGTCTTTCAGGAGTCACCGGAAGTTCGAAGCGCCTCGTCACGGTTCGTGATCACCTTTTTCCTCGATATCGAAATTTCGAAATACGGCCACTGTGTGTGTACAGTATACTGATTATATCTCCAGGCTCCCTCGCCTACCTGCCGCGCAAGCGCGCTGCCCGTCACCGTGGTAAGGTTAAGAGGTCAGTACTCTGGAAGAATTTGTGATTTGTGGATTTGTGTGCTGAGACTTTTTGCGACAGCTTCCCCAAGGATGACGCCAAGAAGCCCGTCCACCTTACTGCCTCCATGGGCTACAAGGCTGGTATGACCACCGTCGTCCGTGACCTTGACCGTCCTGGTGCCAAGATGCACAAGAAGGAGATTGTCGAGGCCGTCACCGTCATCGAGACCCCTCCTGTACGTTTTCCCCGTTGTGTGCGAAAGTGAAGGAGACAAAAAAAAGGGACCGGAACCTAATATTTTTTTTTTCAGCTCGTTGCCGTCGGTGTCGTCGGTTACATCGAGACTCCCCGTGGTCTCCGCTCTCTCACCACCGTCTGGGCTGAGCACCTCAGCGATGAGGTCAAGCGTCGCTTCTACAAGAACTGGTACAAGTCCAAGAAGAAGGCCTTCACCAAGTACGCCAAGTCCCACGCCGAGAGCTCCGGTGCCTCCATCACCCGCGAGCTTGAGCGCATCCAGAAGTACTGCACTGTCGTCCGTGTGCTCGCCCACACTCAGATTCGTCAGACTCCTATCAAGCAGAAGAAGGCCCACCTTATGGAGATCCAGGTCAACGGTGGCTCCGTCGCCGATAAGGTCGAATTCGCCCGCAACCTCTTCGAGAAGACCATCGACATCGACTCCGTCTTCGAGAAGGACGAGGTGATTGATGTCATCGCCGTCACCAAGGGTCACGGTTTCTCCGGTGTTACTTCCCGTTGGGGAACCACCAAGCTGCCCCGCAAGACTCACAAGGGTCTGCGCAAGGTCGCCTGTATTGGTGCTTGGCACCCTAACCACGTCCAGTGGACTGTGGCCCGTGCCGGTCAGGACGGTTACCACCACCGTACCTCTTGCAACCACAAGATCTTCCGCATTGGAAAGGGTACCGATGAGGCTAACGCCTCCACTGAGTTCGACATCTCCAAGAAGCAGATCACCCCGTATGTTCCCCCCTGATATTTTCTGTGTGTTTTTTAATTCTAACATTTCTCTAGTATGGGTGGTTTCGTCCACTACGGTGAGGTCAAGAACGACTTCGTCATGGTCAAGGGCTCCGTTCCCGGTGTCAAGAAGCGTGTTATGACTCTGCGCAAGACTCTGTACCCCCAGACTTCCCGCCGGGCCACCGAGAAGGTCGAGCTCAAGTGGATCGATACCTCTTCCAAGTTCGGTCACGGTGCTTTCCAGACCTTCGAGGAGAAGAAGGCCTTCATGGGTACCCTCAAGAAGGACCTTGTGGAGACTGTTTAAGATGTTTAAGCCTATGGTTGGCGGTAGTGCGACGTTTCATATTCAATAAAAAAGCGAATATCCTTCACGATTTGCATGTAGATGTATACTGTCTAGATTTATAAATTCATTCCAGTGTATGGAGAATTCTCCTTCAATGATATATTTCTTAAATCGATATTTTCCGTTGCTTGATATATATCTGGTTGGAATGTTGTACGCAGCCGAAATGTTCAGCTGGTCTTTTCTTTCCCTTCCATATATCTATCTTGATTACATCCCCTAAAATTATCCTCACTCTCTTTACTCCTCCCAATATACCATACTCCAATCCGACAAGCGGGTGGTGAACAAAATGCGCCAGTCCAAGTTTCATTGCGTCATCCCACACCTTTCCCTGCCAGCCCCGACAAGAAAACGGGCTTTGCCAATCTCATCCTACACTCTACGATCAACCTTCCAAAGAGAACATCCACAACACCAATACCGTCTTCTACATCATCTATATAACCAAACCAGCCTAAGAACCCACCCCACAAACGCAGCGCACCAAACCCGCTTCTTCCCCGCAACCTCAAGACCGCACCCACAAACCAGCTCTTCCCCCACCAAGTCCCCCTTCTCAACCTCAACACAAGCCATGTCCTCCGACGACGCCTACATGTCCTTCCTGGACAAAGCGAACGCAGATGTGAGCGGCAGCGCCCCACAGCAAGGGACCGGCACCGTCAAAACCGAGACCGTGCACAGCTCCCTGTCAGTGCCAAAGGCGCTCCAGTCCGTCGACGCATACTACATCTCAGATACAGACGAGCCCTTCGAGCCTGTGGCATTGAAGTGGGATGGCGCTGCCAAGGGAGCGTGGCCTAGTGCTGGTATGTTCCTGATCCTGATCCTCCTTCATGAACTTACTCCCTTGAAAACCTGAGACAAAATCTACAACCACCCTGCTAACCACCCTCCCTCACTGCAGACCAGCTCTCCTCCCTGATCTCCCCAGACAGCGACCTGTCCCAGTCCATCTCCATTCTATCCCCCTCCTCCTTCGACCCAAAAAATCAGTACTCTGCCGCTCTAGATGCTGTCCGCGCCGCGGCTGTCGAGAAGGATTCTGGTGCAGATAAGTCAGCCGTTGAGCTGAAGGTCTATCGTGTTGAACAAACTAGTACCAAGATCGAGTACTGGGTTCTGGCACTACATGCGCCTGAGAGCCGTCTTGTCGGTTTGCGCGCCAAGGCTGTTGAGTCGTAGGTGTCCAGACTATATCCATAATGAGAGGTCTTGGGGTCAGTATAAGACATAATATTGGTTTTGCTATTTGTCTATTCTACCGAAATATGATATTCTATGAGAAAGATCGGTACGGATTTCGTGCTGCCTTGTTTTTCGATATAGAAGCACTGGCGCGGAATGGATAAACAGGGACCTCATCCTACTTTGCCCTTGGTATAAGTTGGCCCTGACAGGTTTTTGTTCGGGATTTGTCGCATTCTTAAGCCCCGGGGTTGGGGTTTGGGGACGCGTGTCAATGGCTGTGCAAACAGGTTGAATTGGTCAATTAATGTTGAAAGGAACAACACTGGTAACTAGTCTTGTACGTCGCTGTTTGTGTTTAAAGGAATCATATGTAGATTTATCTAGTTGTATGTTGTATATCGCGCTGGTAGCCGGGGTCTCGGGCCATGTCTCTCATCTTCCTCGCCGATTCGCCCTTTGCTTCAACAACACCCCGTGCATCTATCGGAGCAACTTTAACTGCCATTATTACTGTATTTGGACCTCTCCAGGTTCATGACCGTGGTGATCCCCGAATTCCAGCTAGCATTCATGCCGGGCCATTCCTTGGGCCCTGGGGAGCAACGGAAATGCCGCACCCTAGAATAGCCCTACCTAGGGCATGGGAGCTAGGATAGGGCTTCAGACCATCAGCCTATTTCAATCAATCGAAGCAGACAGTCAATGATATAACGAAGATGTCTTGAGCTATCAAACTGAGTCTTGAATAGTATCTACTATCATCCACGGTCCATCCCAAAGGCTCGGGAAAAGAGAGGCATAGGCATACCACTGGTTGCCCCCTTGGACCTCTGTCATTCCTGTCTCCTCGTGAGCCCAAACAAGACCCCTCGGGCCATCTAGGCTCTTCTTTTCTTCTGTGTTTTTGGCCTTCTTTCTCCGTTCAGACTCTGTCTCTTTTATCGTCGCCGAGGGAAATTCGATGCTATCCGACCTGCGTTCGTTCTTTCGCTAAAATATTGCACTCTTCGACTGTGCAATATACCAGCTTTGGTCTTCAGTCTTTACCGTTGAAATAATTAGGGAATCGCTGCGTGACGAATCGGAAGAAAGAAGAAGCAGAACATCACACCCATCTGCTCTGCAAATTCCACCAACGACTGATACAAAAGGGCTGTTCCCGCGGCGGAATTGAAGGCACAGCAAGGCCTCACCAGTACAGAGCAGAGAGTCGTGTCGGACTTACCCAGGAAACTTGAAAATCGATCAAATGTCGGACCACGGCTCTGATACCTCAGAGGGGAAGGCGATGCCTCACATCCGACTCAACTCCGGGCGGCAGGATCCTTTCCTCGAGTCAAATGAAGGCTATGCGCCTCTCACATCGCGGACATTTCCCCGGCCCTTGACACCACAGGGAGCCGAAGCGCCTATGCCGGTGAGCCCTCAAGCGATATCACCATACGGCGTATCAGCTGCCCCCGAGTCCTCGGAATTCCTGCTGCCCCCGAAGTTGAGGCCTACACAGGGACATGGTCTGACTGACACTGACCGCAACCGGTCTCCGGATCGGTGGTCTACGGCTCGCTCGAGTATCAGCTCCATGAGCCGCGAGAGCACTTTCCACTTTGATCCGTTCCAGGACTCGAGGGCGCCTTCGCACGCTGGTAGTGAGGATTATGATGTCAACACGCAGACTGTGTCCGGGAAGTTCAATATCATGCCCACTGATGGATTGTTGTTGTACCCCGAGGACGTGGAGAAGGATGACTACTTGCACAACCCGGACCCGGCGGACAAGGATCGTGATTGTGACATCTGGAATCGACGGGGTATTTTGAATGTCGGTGGTCTGGCGGTTTTCACAATAGGTCTTCTGGTGCTTTTCATTGGCTACCCGCTCATGTAAGAAGTTGCTGGCTTATCTGACTGTCTCTCCATGGCTAACAGTAATTGCAGAACTTGGTTGGCGGGCTTTGGGAAACATCCCCATGAAGGTATATGCCACCCAGAAGACACGTTGTGTTTGGATGTTGGAGAGCGACCATTGTTGGGAAACCTGCGCCAGAGCTTGATTGATCCAGACACACCGAAAGAGGCATACACCAAGAAAAGCGCCAATGGAAAGGAGATGAAGCTAGTGGTGAGTTATTTCATAGGTCGACAATGAGAAGTGGCTGACGTTCCATTGTAGTTCTCCGACGAGTTCAACATGCCCGGTCGAACGTTCTTCGAGGACGATGACCCATTCTTCCAAGCAGTGGATTTATGGTACGGAGTGACACAGGACAAAGAGGTTAGTATAAACCATGTCACAAATCATCGCTCAATCGCTGACATTGCCTAGTGGTATGATCCCGACGCAGTAACCACAGCAGAAGGCACCCTTCAGCTTCGATTCGATCACTTCAAAAACCACAATCTCGAGTATCGATCCGGTATGGTACAAAGCTGGAACAAGTTGTGCTTCAAGGGAGGCCGTCTCGAAGCCAGCATGTCCCTCCCGGGCGATGGACATATCCAAGGGTTCTGGCCTGGCTTCTGGGCAATGGGTAATTTGGCTCGTCCTGGCTATGCTGCTACCACCGATGGTATGTGGCCGTACAGCTACCATGACGGCTGCGATGCAGGCATCACCCCAAACCAGAGTTCACTTGATGGTATTAACTGGCTGCCCGGTATGCGGTTGCCCGGATGTGCCTGTCCCGGCTCTGATCACCCGACTCCTGGTGTTGCACGCAGTGCTCCTGAAATTGATGTGATTGAAGGCAGCACTGCTCCGCTGTATGGTGACAGCGGTCCGTTCGTCGGTAGTGCATCGCAGAGTTTGCAGACCGCACCATTTGACCTGTGGTATCTGCCTGACTATGGTGAGTTTTTTTTGTCTCTTCTCCCTATGGAAGACATCCATTAACCAAAAAACTCAGACTTCGCCGCTGTTTATGACTCACGCGTCACCCAAATTAACTCCTACCGTGGCGGTGTCTACCAACAGGCCATGTCCGGCCTAACCAACCTGAATCACCGCTGGTACAACGGCACCGAATTCCAAACCTACTCCTTCGAGTACATACCCGGCGCAGAAGGAGAGGTGACTTGGTTCGTCGGCGCCGAGAAAACCTGGACATTGGACGCTCGCGCCATCGGACCCAACGGCAATGTCGGGCAGCGCATGATCCCACTCGAACCCATGTCGCTGATCATGAACATGGGTATGGCGGATAACTTCGCGCCGCAGAACAAGAGCATCATTGATTTTATGCCCGCCATCCTGCGCTTCGACTACGTCCGGATCTATCAGGACCCCGATGATGAGAGCGTTACCTGTGACCCGCCGGGGTATGAGACGACTAAGTATATTGAGAAACATCGCAAGGCATATGATAATGCGAACTTTACGACTTGGTATGTTTATCGCTGGTTTTTCTCATTTGCATTTTACTAATGATTGAACTTTAGGGACGAGGCTGGGTACAATTGGCCTAAAAATTCATACATGCACGACTGTCCGGCTAATTAGATTCTATCATTTGTTGTCTCTTTCTATCCTAAACTGTTAGTCGTTTTAGCGGCATTGTTTGCTGGCGTTATTGGGGTTGGGCATCACATTATATTACTTTCGCCATTCATCATCAACCATTTGATTCTCACTCTTTCTTCGTAGAGCTCATCTAGTCTTCTCTCACCTCAACTCCAACCGTATGACGTAATGATAAACTTGATATCTACTAAGCCTAGTTAGGGGGTTCAACTTCGCCCATTGTACAAGCTCACCGCCTGCTGGATCTGGCCACAGTACGGACACGCCAAGAGGGCACGATATCTCAACACGTTGAATCGTTATAACTTGCCTTCTATCTGCAGTGCCGTGAATATGTATCTTTGAACTTCATCCTTGAGGTAGAATTGATTCCTGTCAACCAACCCCTCTTCCGGAGGTGACCAGTCTCTGCCCTTACGGCCAATATCTCTTTCTCATCCACTGACACTAGCTATAGAAATCCGGGGTCATACAATAGGATATACATGAAATTATCTGCCATTCATAGATGTGAAGCACATTCCACAGAAGAGGCCTTTTATTACTCCTATTTTCACCAGTCATTGGTTGCACCCCACACATCAACTTAAACCCCCCCCCTCTCGATCACTTGCCCCCGACTTATATCCCATATCAACATCTTCACCATGTCCGGCGGACCCATAAATCTCATCTCAGACACAGAATCTGAATCAGACTCCGATGGCGGCATGCAACTCGACGACCTAAACCGCGCCGACGGCATACCAATGCACAACAACGGCGAAGGTCTCGAACTCAGAAACGTGGACGGCATACCAATGTCCCGCCCTGGATCAAGCGATGATGCTTGGAACGTGAATGGAACTACATCTGGATCGGACACGGGTATGTCTTCCAAGTTCCACCATCTCATCTCTATCCATCTCCCCGAACCAAGTGAATCATAGTCCAGTATACAAACTAACACCGCGAAAAGGAGGATTCCGCGACCGCGCCCCGAACCCCCTCACGGCATCATACAATCGCGCCGGCCAAGGCGGCACGGAGTCTCAAACCGCCTTCGAGAAAGACGCTCGCACACGCCCGCATCTCCGCGACGAGAAACACGCCGCGCTGGCCGTCCTCATGGACAATGAGTTGTTGATTACGTATGCGCTTTCCTCGCGAGAAGTACGTTTACCACCCTGTCCTGTCCTGTCCGGTCCTATCCCAGCCACTATCACCATTACAAGTACAAGTACATTAAACTAGCACTACTAGACAATCCCCCAAACCCGCCGACGCTTCCTAGCAAGATATCTCGCGCCCAACGACCCGGACAAAGCAGAAGAACTGTACAACCCGCGCTTCTACATCGCGCCTGACGGGGAGGGCGGGGAGGGATCGCTTATTCGCGGTCGGTACCGGGAGATTATTGGGGATATTGATGATCATAACTGGCATAAGCCGGGGCATTTGAGGACCTTGGATGCGAAAAAGACGGATGCTAAGAGTAAGAAGAGCAAGAGTGGTTCGCGGTCTGTTTCGGTGGGGTCTTTTTCCGGTGCGAATTCGCCGAGGGTTTCTGGGGGTGGGGATGAGGAGAATCTATGAGTTATGAATATATGTTTCTTGGTCTTCAAGGCTACATAGACTACAGACTACTAATGACAGATGATAATATAATGTTATATTCGCTAAAACACATTAGAATAAACTACTATACAGAGAAGCAGATCAACGACAGGGCCACCAACCCAGAGAAAGAAGAAGAGAACAAAAATAAAGATAAAAGGGGTATCATCGAGGGGATCCAAAAAGAGAAGACATATGTAGCTTCTCTGTTCTTTTTGTGTTCTCTCCTCCTTCGATCTCTGGGATATTACCCGAAGACTCAGGCAACGCGGTAGCACTGCAGTCCGACTTGCGAACTCATCTTTGCATTCTTGATGGAACAGCTGAGCTGGTCACAGATGCCATCCGAGTCGGAGGAAAGGAAGATGAGATATAAGGGTAACCAATCAGAAGACAGGGTAGATGCCAAGGCTTACATCTCTTTCTCCTCTCTCCTCCGTTGCTCCGAGTGGAACAGACTCTCGATGTCTCCAACCTGCTTACGCTCCGAGACTTCTCGGTTGAGCATGCGAGAATAATGGGCCTGGGCATTCATCAGTGTCAGTCCTCGAGACGGTACGGGATCGTATTCCGGGTCATTGTAAAAAGGTTGCAGGCGGTGCGAGGTGGTGATCCGGATCCGACCGTCTCTCATGACAGGTGATTGTCATTGCAAAGGCTCTGAGCTTGAAGAGAGGCGGTTGAGATGGAGGTAGACATCGGTCCCGTAGCTGGAGATCAATTAGCAAGGGATCGGACAGTTTAAGCAGAGAATAACATACCCCTCCATACTGATCAACTTCAAATCACCGCCAAAGTACCGAGCGTATAGTCGGCTTACTGGTAGGCCATATCCAAATCCAGCCATGGGTGCTTTGAAGTCGTTCTTGTCGAAATCAGGGTCCAGGTTGGGCGTTTGCTCCACTGTCGTGTACATGTAGGTCCATACGAGGGGGATCGACGACCGGGGGATACCACCGCCCTCATCGGAGATCTTGATCGTAATGTCCTCTTTGCCTTCGGCTACTATTACCTTGGTCACGGGGAATTCATCCTTATCGGCCCCATGTGCTTCAACGACCGCCCGGAGCGAGTTCTTGAGGGTCTCAAAGAGCATGTGCGATAGGTGTCCGGGAACATACATGAAGTTCAAGTCCTCCTTGCAGACCAGCTGCACCTTGGGCGACTCGAAAAGACCGTAGTAATCCTCGCAGACGAAGCGGGCGTTTTCAATGGCCTCGAGCGCGATGTCGCGAACGTTGGTCTTAGTACAAATTATTCCGACATAATTGGGGTGTTTGACATGCGTTTGTTCCGTGAGTGCGATGTGTTGGCCGATAAGCATTCGTATACCGATCCTTGACATGTAAAACCGGTCGAGGAAGGACTGAATCGTGGAGTCGATCTGCATGCGCTGACGCGCACGTTTCCATTCTAGGATACCTTGCGCGACGGTGGTCACAACCCCGTCGTGGCGTCGTTTGATCTGTTGAAGGGTCTTGGCGAATCGTTGGTTGTAGTCGTTGAGTTCCGGAGGCCAGTTTCCGCGGTCGTCGGAGGGGAAGAAGTACCGTCGGCCTGAGGCGGCGGGTGACCTAGCAACACCATTTCCGTTGGATGCAGTCACGGATGACCGGTACTGTCCTTCACGCACGCTGGGGTTTTGGGTTGTTTCAGAGAGGATTTTTGACGGGCCGTTCATCCGGCCGGGTCGCAACAGGCGTGCTTTCACTTCCTGAGTCAGAGTGGGGCGGGGAAGAGCAATGATTTCCTGATCGGGTCAGTATATGGATCCGGGATCATTATTAATTGGTGAGTCACCTACCTCGAATGATTGCGCATACCAGTCCTGGACCTTTTTGATCGAGGGCATCTCGCTAAGTCCATCTGGAAGCTCACCCAGATCTTGCACGCGATGTGCGAGACGGATCGGGAGCTCCTCAGACAGGAATTGAGAGGCGCGGAATAGGGTACCTGGATGAGAGTTAGTTATGTAACTGTAGATAGCGCAGACCCGTTCATAGTTCATACCTGTTGAGGGACGGTCCCCAAACTGGACCATCTGTCTCAGCGAGACACCGGTTGCGGGGAAGCTGGCATAATGTCTGATGGTGTCCATCAGCCTTTCCGAGGGCTTCCACATGGTGGTGATATATTGGCCGAATGGCCTTGGAATTGTGTTTTCTAGAAAGTGATCTATCCAGAGAGAAGTTGTCGAGGAGGAAGTGTGAGTGAATCGAGTCATCGGTTTTCACTGCCGAGGTTGACCGGTCCCCGGGTTTTCTCCGCCTCTCCGCTTGCGCTCTCCGGGGACCGGAGGAAGATCACACGACAGGAATAAGCAACGTATGATTTGTATCTTAGGAATGCTGGCGGACTGATTTTTTGCTGGGTTTTCTGTTTTTCTACTTCTTTTTTATATTAAAAACTACATTCACAAAAGAGAAGTGTTATATTGGAGAGACTATGCGATTCTGAAAGTCCGTTCACCCGTGGTCTATGACATAATTGTGTGGCCTCAGGCAGGAATCACATGTTAGATATCAGCTGATCTGATGTTGGGGATGTCGGGGATGATATCCATACCACTCATGTCTTTCTTTCTAGCTATTAACAAACTAATGGTACCTTAAACACAATATGAATCACAATCATTCCAATTATCAGGTCTGCATTGATTTTATTAATGGCATTCATGGCTTATTGAAGAGAACGTTCGGTCTACCAGTATGTGCCTGAAGATAGAATGAGTCATAAACATACTAAAGAGGCTCACTAGGTAAATACCCTGGTTGAACCAATTGCGTATGATCCTAAGTGCCCCTTTAAATACAATAACTTTGTGTATCGCATCTCTCTGCCGTCTCCACTCGACAAAGAGAATGGTGCCTGGCACAAGCCCGGTTGTGTGGCTATTCCTTCCGGCGTTAGTGATCTGATCCTTCGTCTGACAAACTCTGACGCTACATCTATGGGAGCAGCGAATCGCGTCGAGAATGAGGTTGCTATGATGACTCTAGCCGCTGCTGCGCTAGACCCAAATTTCGAGCCCCGCGTTGTGCCTCGCCTGTATGGCTGGGCTGGAACCACATCTAAAAAAGGGGAGCCACAGCAAGGTTGGATCCTACAGGAGCTCATGCCAGGCGTTCCCCTAGACGAAAGGCTAGATAACATGGAACTCGAGGAGAAGAAAGAAATATTTGCACAGATCGCAAAGCTCCTTAAAGGCCTTCAGGACTTCCCGCTACCCGCCTCTATTACTAAATTTGGAGGACTTACATTTGATAACGAGAACAACATAATCAGTGCACCAATGACCACCACCAGTACTGGTCCCTGGCCCTCGTACGAGGCTGCATTTGAAGCACGGCTTAAGCAAGCTCCGAAGAAAACCGACGAGAATCCTTATATCCAGGGCTGGCATGAGAATGGCGTCCCCGGTTGGAGGCCTTTATAGAGCGAGGGCTCCCGGAATCTTTCAAGCAACTTGAATCGCACAACGACAAGGCAATAATCCACGCAGTTTTTAGTAAGCATATTTCCCTTGCACCTCCCGAACCCTACCCGCTTGTTCTTATAGATGTTTTCTATCAGCACCCAACAATCTGTGATTCAACATTTCCTCAGGTCGCATCACAGGATTAATTGACTACGACTTTTCGTGCGTTCTCCATCCTTCATACGAGTTCCTTTGCTCCTTTAGTGGGGTTGGGGGCAAGTTTGGGGGCTGGCCTTGAGGCCCGTGAAGAAAGGGCCCTCAAGGAAGCCAAGTTACACGGCTTCCCAGACCCTCTTCCCGATGACCAGCAAGGTAGCGAGGAAGTACAGTGGAAAGTTGCCAAGGTTTGGGAAGACGCCCTTCAGAACGAGGGTTGCAAGCGCCCGATAACAACCTCAGGGATTGACATTGTCGCCGATGTCGATGCCCTGCTTAGTTCTATCCTGCCCTGGCGCGTGACAAATTCAGACATTCTGAGGAGGCAAACTTGTCAAGTCATTCAAAACTGCCGAAATGAGAACGAGAAAGTCCTGATTGAGATTCTGGAGCATATAGGGTTCTAGAATTATTAGCAGAACTCTTTCGGGTCCGATTTAAGCCAGCGATTCACTTCGAGCCTCGCCAAGCTGTTGATGTTTCATTTGAATTCTGATCTATCCAGTTGGTATATTCAATAGCAAGGCTTATGATATAATTAAGGAATAGCATATGTACTTAGGGTACCGGACATCACCTACAGAAGTTACTCTATAACCAATGAACACGTGACTGTGACTCCGACTTTGGGAAGTATACGCCGTAGGAAACGAAGGATATACAAGGACACTCGTTCATGTGCTTGGTTTAGTTTTTCGTCAATCATACATTGTTACTTGCGTTTACCTTTTTACTGATGACTTCCTTATTACTTAAACACGGAGGACTCGGTTATATCATGCATAATCTCACGTACTTTTGTCAACCCTGTCCTCTCGCCCCCTTTTAGCCCTTCCATGGCCATCGCTAAGAAAATGACCAGCCCCGCGGCTATCTCGCATTGGCGCAATCACTGGTCTTCTCGAAGAACACTCCGTTCATATCCCATCCTTGATAGAGAAGAAAAGAGAGGGAAAAGTCATCGGATGATGCAACGGGCCACGTTCCCACCGCTACCCATTCGCCCGTCCAACAGATCCGCTTTCTGGACACTCAAGATTCTCTTTTCGAGCTCTTGCTGTTGTCGAGCGATTATTATCTCTGACTGGCTATTATTTAGCCCCTCCTACCCTTTTTTGTGTGTGCGTTGGCGAAAAAAAAATCCCAATATCCCCGAAAAGAAAAAAAAAAAATACAATCAATTCTGGCCCTAAAAAATTATCTCAAATCTCCAAAACCTCAAAATCTTCATCTCCTCAATTCCATTGACAACCCGTGCATCGGTGCCTCGAATGTTGAACCCTCTCCCGGCCTATACATAGGGAGGAAAACCGTCCCTCCGAAAAGCGATAGATATATACCCTCCGGAATCCACAATCCACACAAATGTCTCGCCGTCGAATATCGCACAGCGAAATGAATGAGGCTCTCGCCTATCCCTTCATGCAGTCCAACGGCCCATACAACAGTCAGTCGAATGGACAACCCCGTCGAGGCCCCATCGAAGGTCCCAATGGCCGTCGCCTCATCCGTCGCGTCACATGGCGCTCCTCCACATACAAGCTCATGGCCACCCTGTGGGTGCTGGCCGTCCTCTACATCGTCTGGCTAGTCCGCGACCTCTTCTTACCGTCCACCCCGTCCGAATCCAGACCAACCCCTCCTGCTCAACCCGAACAAAATTAAAGGCGCTGTGTGTGGGCCCCCCTGGGAGGGGGCGAGAATTGCGTCTTGGATTGGGTCGTTTCTGCTGCCGGAGTGGGGGGGTTGTTTTGGGGGCCCATTGCGGGCTTTTGAGCGACAGCTTTCTTTTTGGCATTCCCGTATATTATTCGGGTCCCGGGGAGTTAGACTTGGAGAGCTCTTGGGCAGGGATGCATTGCGCTTGAGGGATCATGCTTTTTTTTTGTTTTGGTTCCGGGAGAGATGGCGCTGAAGATACGTCCACATTGCTGGCTTGTGTGGTATCCGGAGATTCTCCGGGCTAAACCTACTGGTAATGGCGCTGTTGGGGTAGTTCCGGATGGAGCCCTGGAGTGTTCTGCTTGTCATATGCGGGAGTCGACTAGTAGCTCTCTCCTTTTGGACTTTCTACCGACTATATCTGCGGTCCGGCGCTCAATTGACCCAAACAGCTTTCTTTTTTCTTTTCGTTTGCATGTCAGCGTTCTATTGCATATGGGTATGATTACCATACAGGCCGATAGCCTGATCGAGCATTTCCGTCTTCTTTCTTATTCTCTTATTCATGGGCGGTTCAATTGTCTTTTTTTTTTCCCCATACAGCAAAAGCGTTGATCATTTTCTCATTCTAGAATGTCTGTTACATCCTCTTCCCGCTCTGACGTCCATGACACTCCCCAAATTGACCCCTCCCCTATCTCAACCCCTCGAAGATTTGGAGCGCGGGGCATCGGGGAAGCAGGGAAGTGGGGGGGGAAATTTCCCTCTGAGAGATATCCACAAGTGGAACATAATGCCTTGCATTCAATTTGTATACACAGTGACTCCCTTCTCTTTCACCTATAGGAAATCCCATATCTCCCATCGTCTTTTTATATATAACTTTTCACTTTCTAACAGATACACAGAATACGACTGTACTAAGGGTACCTTAAACGAACAGGGAAGAGGTCTCGCCCTTGGCAATGGTGCTCGCGTAGGGCTTGATGGCCGCAGCCACCTCGGTGCTGGTGAACTTCTCGACCTGCTGAGGTGCGCGGCCGACGAAGGTGGTGGCGTCGAGAAGGGTGTCCAGCTCCGGGATGATGGGGGTGAAGAACGCGTTGCGGCGGATGCGCTCGATGAGGTCGTTGTCCTTGCCCTGCTTCTTGACGTTGTCGGCAGCTTCGCGGGAGAGAACACCTGCGTACGTTAGAATTCCGGTTTGGAGAGGAAGATACGGAGAGAAACTTACGGATCTCCTCGTGCGCGTCCTGGCGGGAGAGACCCTTGGCGACACAGGCCATGATGATGTTCTCGCTGAGATATGTGTTAGCAACATCCATTGGATTCGTTAAAGATGTACTCACGTTGCCATAAAGGGGAGCTCATCGTTGACGTGGCGCTTGATGACCTCGGGGTAGACGACGAAGCCGGAGGAAACGTTGTCTAATAGTGGTCAGCCATAATCCGAGCTTCTAACAACTCCGAAACTCACTCAGGAGGATGAGACAGGCGTCAGCAGTCAGGTACAGCTCCGGGAGACTGATACGGCGGATAGCACTGTCATCCTAGGACAAAGTTAATAAATGATTCTAGACACATCCGCGGTATACTCACAAGAGATCGCTCAAACCACTGAGCGGAGTAGGTGTCCAAGCAGTCCTTGGGAAGGTTCTGCAGGTGACGTCCGAGCGAGCACAGACGCTCCGAGCGCATGGGGTTGCGCTTGTAGGCCTACAAATAATCAGCTAAAGGACCCAACACAACAGACAAACAAACTCACCATGGCACTGCTGCCGATCTGGTCCTTCTCGAAAGGCTCCTCAACCTCCTTGAGCATGGCAAGGTGACGGATGTCAATGCCAATGCGCTCACAGGTGGAACCGAAAGAACCAAGAGCGTTGGCGACATCAACATCGATCTTACGCGAGTATGTCTGGCTGGAGATGATGAAAGCGGAGCTGAAGCCAGCCTTCTCGGTAACAAGCTCGTCCAGGCTCTCAACCTTGGCGTGGTCACCGTGGAAGATCTGCAGGAAAGACGCCTGAGTACCGGTGGTACCCTTGACACCACGGAAGCGCAGGTCATTGCGGGCACGCTCGAGGTTGCGCAGATCCATCAGCAGATCCTGGATCCAGAGACAAGCACGCTTGCCAACGGTCACCAGTTGGGCGGGCTGACCGTGAGTGAAGCCCAGACAAGGGAGGTCCTTGTACTGCTGAGCGAACTGGGACAGCTTGTCGACGACAACAGCCAGCTTGGGGATGAGGATGTCGAGACCGTCGCGGAGCAGGATCAGATCGGCGTTGTCGGTACAGTAGCACGAGGTAGCACCCCAGTGAATGATACCAGCGGCGGCGGGGGCAACCAGGCCAAAGGCATGGACGTGGGCCATGACATCGTGTCTTCGGCGCTTCTCCTCCTCGGCGGCAACGGCGAACTCGTCATCCTGGATAACCTCGTGGGCCTTCATCTGCTCAATAGCCTCGGTGGTGATAGGAAGTCCAAGCTCTGTAGCCAAACTTCAGTCAATTGATGTGTTTCATCAACTACCTCTGATCTTCGACACTCCCGTACCTTGTTGGGCCTCTGCGAGCCAGGTCCAAAGCTGTCTCCACGTGGAGAAGCGCTTCCGGGGGGAGAAGAGATACTTCATCTCATTGCCTAATCAATTGAGTATGGTTAATCCCGATTTGTACAATTTCCGGGGTTGCCCCTCCTATAGAGGGGCAGTTGGGACCGACTTACTCGCATAACGTGAGTTGAGGGGGGTCTGGTAGACATCGTTGCTTCCGGACATTGTGTCGGTGGTTGTTTGAGATACTCAAACGAAGAATTGAGCAACGAGACGGACGATGAGACAGGGACAAGGCGATGTGCGGGCAAGGAATTTTGCTTGCGGCCCGGTTTTAGCGGGGCTTATCAGTCACGTTATCGTATGATCTACATGTCACATGATACCATACGTTCTATGGGATGTTTTGTTGATCTACCAGTAGGGAAAGCAGGCTTGGTGGTGCATACATTATTATGATATTAGCTCGTATAGATGGAGTCCTTTGTGATTTCACTCTCCGCTCCAGATAATCAAGCCAACTGCGCCAGCTGTACCGATAGGCTTGCCTTGTCGTACTTGATGTATTTACCGCGGCCTTTGTCGATCTCAACATATCGATCGTAAAAGCGCGCATACAAGGGCTCGAGAACAGTTTGCAGCTCACGAGTTAGCAAAGAGCGCACCTCACGCTCCATGTGAAGGGTTTTGTGCCGAGACACCATATCCTCGAAGCTCGCGTTGAATGCTTTGAACTTGTCCTTGATCGCATCCTTATCCTTGGATGACAGGGACTTGACGATGGCGCTTGAATCCACGTTGCCGCTAGAATTGCGCTGCGCCCCGCGGGAGGTATACTGCACATCAAGAAGGTACTGGGATGTTTCCTTCCATGCATCCAGATAGGTAGACGTCGCGCGCTTGCGGAAAGTGTCGATCCGGGCAATACTGTCGGGGTTACCCAAATAACGTGCCAGCTCTGGGCTCTGTCGGATCGACCGGTCGACCACGCAGAACACGTTGGACAAGAACACACCAAGCGCTGCCTTCGATCGATGGAAAGCCCGACCTCGACCTTCCAGGGAGGTCATCAAGGCCTCGATCATATCTAGAATGAAATGCGACAGAAGTGTGCTGCTGTCCGGACCTACATCTAGAGGAGCCGAGCCAGCGGTGTTGGACTTGGCACGCCAGTTTCCATCTCCCAGAGACGTCAAGATAGAAGCCAAAGGGCCCGAGTACCCCGTCAGTGTGGCCAATGAGCTCATCACTTCTTCCACAAGAGGCACCGATCCACCGTCCGGAGGGAGCGTGGTATTAGCAGCCTTGCGCTTCGTTTCCTCGAGCAATTCGGAAAGAGACGACTTGGCAGTCTCGCGTACAGGTCGAAGAGCCTCGATCAAGAGGCTCTTCAGTTCCGCGGCCTTGGAGTCAATCCGATAGGACATCGCGGTCACAATTTCGATGATCTCAAAAGCCAAGAAGCAGTCTGTCATCAGATTGGTCTTGATATACTGATTGAGCTCACGAAGTGTTTTAGAGTATTCGCCCATAGCCGGGAAGAACGTAGCCTGCAACGCCAGGCCCTGCTGATCTCCAGTAAACATCTCCACAATAATACCGTGCTCGGTAGTTATAAAGGCCTCCAGCGCATTCGAGTAAATACCAATACCATTGGTACCCTGCTTGTATGGGCCATCGGTGGGTCGCCGTTTGACGGTATTGAGGGATGCAATGGCAAGATTCTCCAAGCTGGATGCAATGTATGGTCCCCGTACTTCCGCATAAGCCTTCAGCGCGGGGTTGTCCCCCTTCCCACGCTGAGATCCATGAACGGATGCCGAGCCGACTGCCGAACACAAGGGCGCCATGTGGGTGACGGTATCTTCGGGTATGGATGGGAAGGGGAGATCTAGAACCGTCGCACATTAGATCTGATTTAGGTTTCGTTTGGTCGTGATACGCGTACCTTTGGTCAAATAGTGTAGGGGCTCAACCGGAGTGGAATGCTGGCTCAGTTCCCCCCGTAGCACTTCTTGGAGTTTGGTGCTTCCGGTGTTTAGAAGAGAGTTGAAGTCGGCGATCGCATTCTGGTTTGATCGCAAGTTTGTTGTGTTAAGGTCGACCAGCGCCTTTTCAACACGTTTCATCGCCCCTAGGTAGTGGGTGAGGCCGGAGCTCTGTGGTCTGGGAGACGATCAGCAAAAGACTCAGACTATATGCTCAAAGAGAGTAGAAGACACATACCCTGCGCGAATGATTCCATCTTCTCGGTTCTTTGCATCGAGAGGCTGGCGCAGGCGATCGATGGCGTCGTTGACCTTGTCGATATTACTGTTGGTGATTTGAAGGGATTGGGTGTTGCTATAGATGGGACCAATGGCTTCTTTGACAACTTTTCCTCCTGTCTCCAGGCGTACCATGGAGCCTTGTATCTTCTTCGTGAGTCGGTTGAGCTTCTCGAGGTTGGCATATAGGACCTCGACCTCCGCGCTCTCCTCCGCGTAGGCGGTATTCCTTGGCGCCACCATGGTTAATTGGAAAATTAGGCAAAATCAATCCAGAGAGACCATATCACATGTCACCAGGACCCCTCATGTCCTTCGCGGGCAAACGGAATTGATCGATCAAATGGACTGATTGTCCCTCCAGCTCCATCCAGTCCAGTGATAAGGAGCTCCGCCACGCTAGTCCAAAAGAAGTCAGGCCCAGTCCGGCCTTGTCACGTGAATCCACGACGTCATCAACCCAGGGCTTGTTCACAGGTAGCTTGCAAGAAAAGGCAGGCGGGGCTTTTGCAGTCCTTCAATGGACCCCCTGGATGCAGCAGGTCTCTTACTTTGCCCTAAACTTCCCGGTCACAATGGGCACTGCAAGGACCACTCGTCTGTGGACGGTGCCCCCTGCTGCCCTAGCTGCATACACTGCGGGGGAATGGTCTCAACCCAGACAATCAAGAGCTCAATATACTACTTCTCGAACACGATACAGCAATTATTCAGAGTCTGGAAAGTCCAATGCAGGCAAAGACGATGGATCCATCTGGAACAACATCAGCCAGAAGCTAGATGAGGTTAAGCAAACCGTTGGCTCCGCCGAGTGGGCGGATGTGGGGAACATCACAGACTATATCATCCCAGATTGGACGCGATTTCTACCAGCTACTGCCAAAAAGCTCCAGCGGGAGCTCTCCCTATCTCCCGGCTCATTGGCAGACGATATTTGGAGGGAGGCACAGGACCCTGATATCAACCCTGAGATTCTCCGCGACGCCAAGGTACGAGTAAGTGAGGATCTTTGCAACGAAGAGCAGGCATTTAGACGGCAACGACAACGGAAGGTTGTCAAAGCATTGTCATCTTACCTCAAAATACCCGTGGAGGACATCCACCCCGAAGACGTACCGGTCATTGCGGTGTGTGGCTCGGGAGGTGGTCTGCGCGCTCTAGTTGCAGGCACCGGATCGTATCTGGCAGCACAGGAAGCAGGTCTGTGGGACTGCATCACCTACACGGCTGGTGTCAGTGGCAGCTGCTGGCTGCAAACCCTCTATCATTCGTCCATTGCGCAGCAAGACTTCGACAAGCTTGTCGACCATTTGAAGAATCGTCTTGGTGTTCACATTGCATTCCCGCCGGCAGCTCTCAATCTCCTCACTACTGCGCCGACAAACAAGTACCTTCTCAGTGGGTTTGTGGAAAAGCTGAAAGGCGATCCTGGTGCGGACTTTGGACTGGTAGATATTTACGGATTGCTGCTTGCAGCGAGACTATTGGTCCCGCGAGGAGAACTGGGAGTCTCCGGTTTTGATTTCAAGTTGTCGAACCAACGAGCCAATTTGATAAATGGGGCTCATCCGCTTCCAATTTACACGGCGGTGAGACATGAGATTCCCGTCGAAGCCCTCATACAAAAAGATCAGACCAAGAAGAATCCAACGCCTGAACAGTTGGCGAAAGAGTCGCGACATGAAGCATGGTTCCAGTGGTTTGAGTTCACTCCCTACGAATTCTTTTGTGAAGAACTGAATGCCGGAATCCCCACCTGGTCTTTGGGGCGTCACTTCAACGCAGGCCGCTCTGATGTTTCCGCTGACAATCTCCCCATCCCGGAGTTAAGGATTCCCGGGCTCATGGGTGTTTGGGGTAGCGCTTTCTGTGCGACTTTGTCTCACTATTACAAGGAGATCCGGCCTCTGGTCAGCGGCCTGGCTGGATTTAGTGGAATTGATTCTCTCATCCAAGGCAAGAACCAAGACTTGATCAAGGTGCATCCCATAGACCCTGCGGCTATACCCAACTATGTTATGGGCATGAAAGATCAGCTGCCCGACTCCTGTCCGGAGTCAATCTTCCGAGACGAGCACCTGCGTCTCATGGATGCGGGAATGAGTAATAACCTGCCAATCTACCCACTCATCCGACCTGGGCGCGATGTCGATGTAATTGTCGCATTTGATGCGTCTGCGGATGTCAAACAGGAGAACTGGCTCTCTGTGGTCGATGGATACGCCAAACAACGTGGTATAAAAGGTTGGCCTGTCGGCGCCGGATGGCCCAAACATTCGAGCCTCAAGGATACCGAGAAAGCACTGCGCGAGCCAAATAACATCACCGAGGGGCAATTGACAGATAAACTCGCCGACGCTATGGATACCTCTGAACCCCCACCCGATGATCAAGAGCCCAAGGCCGGCACAGACCTGGGCTATTGCAACGTTTGGGTCGGCACCACAGCCGAGCGAACCTCGAACGACGAGCCTCCGCCATCCAAACGCCTATTTGATTCTTCCTACAACGAAACCCCCTCCGAATCCGAGTTCCACCTGATGCGCCCAGATGCCGGCATCGCGGTTGTCTACTTCCCTCTGATTCCCAATCCTTCCGCACCGGATATTCCTCCCAAACCTAAAACTCGTCCGCGTGCAGCTGCTCAGTCCATGCGACAGGATAGCTCTCAAACCAGAGATCCGGAACTGCCTCTTGCTCCACAGCCCAACTCGATCGACCCGGAAGTTGATGATTTCCTGTCTACTTGGAACTTCATCTATACGCCTGAGCAGATTGATTCTGTCGTTGGCCTTGCAAAGGCAAACTTCTTGGAGGGTGAAGAGCAGACTCGTCGTGTTATCCATGCTGTCTATGAGCGCAAGAAATCCGATCGCCTGCGGAAGGAGGCGGCAGAGCATCGGAAGAAGATGGAAGGCTTTGTGCCTCTATGATTCTCCCGTCAACTTCCACCGGACAAAACACGACTTTGGTCGAAGCTGCATTTAATACTACATTGTTGTAAATATAGACGACACTTTTTGACATTTTTACCTCGCATACCCATGGCCTTTCCTTTCATTTTCATTTTCAGTTGGTTTGAGTTAGATAGAGCTTGACCTAGACCTTTCATTTATGTATATAGTACAGAGCAAACGACCTGTGACAATGATGAAGCATAGAAGAGATCCAATGGTACATTCATAAATGCACTATGCACTATGTATTACTTATGCACTTGTACAAGTTCTAGCTAATAATTTCAGAGCTCTGATCGGTTTTATCCTGTTGCAGCACCATTCTTCTCAAAATTCGTCTTCACTCCCTCAAGCTCTTCACTATGCACGCTCTTGATTTTGGCCTTCCGGCCCTCATCAGTAGTCATCTCATCGTCACTCCCAGCAAGACTAACATCCTGACTGTCACCCGTCTGCTTCCGCAGTCCAAGTTCCTTCTCTAGCGTATGTCCCAGCTTCTTAGTCTTGTCCGAGATACTTGTAGCAGTACTTTTCTGCGACGAAGTCTCAGAAGGAGGCTGGTTCTCCTTCTTATCCCCGTGCGGCATTCCGCGCCAGTCAGCCGGCTCGCGTTCATGGATGGAATCACCAGGTTTGGGCTCGCTGATCGCTACCGGCGCGCTATCTTCGGTCTTTTTCCCTTTCCCTTCGCTCTTGATAGCTGCGCTGGCTTCCACCGTCTCCGTCGCGGGATACCGCCATACAACTTTCAGCTTGTCTAACGCCCGGATCCCCTTCCTCGCACTCCCCTTGATCCCATCCATCGCCTCCCATTCTGTCTCGAAGACGCCCGAGTCGTGTTCGGCGCCGCCTTCGAAATATGGGTTGAACCATACGTGTGCGATGGAGGTTACCATAGCGAAGCCGGTATAGGATGCTTTGCTGCGACGCTCGAAGTCGATATTCACATCCGAGCTAGGGACAATGAGTGGCTTGTGGGGTTTGTAGAGAATTGCTGAGATACTGTGGTCCTGCGACGATAAGCCGGAGATATCAGATCCCGATACCGTCGGGGACGAAGTCGCAGGCGAGGGAATTGGATTCTTGATCCTGGAGTCCGAGTTAGGATCTGGCTTGGTAGCCTCTTGTTCCTCAGACGTCGAGCCCCCGTCTTCAACGACGGTACGCTCGTTCCGATGGAACAGATGAAAACACTTAATCTTCTTCCCCCCGTCCACATAGCCCTCCACGGCAACCTTAACCCCATCTTTCAAGCCCCATATATGCACCTCCAGGATCTCCACCGGCCGCTCGACATACTGCTTCCCCAGCTCATTCGCCCACTTATCGACATACCCGACATACCGCAGCTGGCTGGGGATGCTAACGCCGCTCCCGAAACCGACCCGCATGCGTCGATCCGTAAACCGCTGCAGCGCGTCTTCCTTCTTCCACCCTTCCTGACTAATCAGATATGCACACGCGATCGTCCCGCTACGCCCTTTGCCTGCTTTGCAGTGCACGACGGCGACCCGTTCGTTTTTGTCTGTGTCTGGCGACTCCTTGCCCTCGTCTAGCCGCTGTAGCCAGTTCCGCATGCTTCCCATTATGACGGGGACATACGCGAATGGCGGTGGGTGGTGGTCTGGCCAGGGGAAGTGGTGGATTCGTCCGTAGACTTCTGAGTCGGGGTATCCTGTACCTTCGGCGCGGAACTCCCAGATACACCATTCTTTGCCATGTTTCGTGTCAAGGAAGTTGACTAGTGCGTCTAGTGGGTTGCGGTAGGCGCGCTTTGGGTATGTTGATGATGGACCGGAGGTTGCGATGACTGTGGAGTATGTTAATGGGTGTGTGTATTTTGGTGTGGGATCGATAAGGATGCTACCATTGTCTGTCACGTAACAGAGATCTAGCCCTGCTTCTGGGTGGTGTTGTCTTGGACCTGCAACTATCTGGCGGAGAATTGATGACTGGCACATTCCAAGGTTAGCAGTGGGACGGTTACTGAGCTCGAGCTGGCATACCATTGACAGAGTGTATAGGTGTTTATAATTTGTATATTCCACCAGAAATATGTGGTAGAAAAGATAATATCCAAATCAAAACAAGCACGGGGAGTTCTGTTATTTTCGCGGATGATGTCATCCGGTGAATTAAGCCCTCTTGGCTACAGGTAATCTACTAACTATATTCGACCCCGGACCTTTATACAACAAATACTACTGTAACAACTATATTGCAGCAAGAAATTTAATTCCTTTGTACACCGTAGAGTCATAGACTAAATACACAAAATATTTCCATCAGAAAATCCAGAAATTTCTAATTGAGCCACATGTCGCGTGCCCATCCAAGACCAATTGAGACCATCCATCCATTACATTAGAAAAAAACAGCCAAATCCACGCAATAAAAAGCATCACAGGTCCAGACTAGTAGCAACTTATGCAATGCCATACTCCTGAGTAGGCTTCATAACAAACTGAATCGGGTTGTGGTCAGGGACGGTAACATTCTTCGCGCCGTGCTGGTACCAAGTCGCGAGGGTATTGTCACTGAGCTGGGATTTCCAGGTGTGAGTGACATCGACATTCCAGACCGGGTTTTCAGCAGGAGAAACAATGGTCGTGATGTTCTTGTCGTCGCAGAGGACCCGCTCGTCTGTGACGCCGCTGCAGTTGGTGCGGAACTTGGGGGTCATTGTGTTCTCGCGGCCGACAATGTCGTATCTGTAGACACAGCCGCCTGGGGAGCAGCCTATGGTGAAGTTGGATACGCCCCAGATGATGTCGTCGGTGATGGTCTTAGTCTGTAGGCTGGCGGGGCGTGCACTGGCTAGGCCGGCGAGCACGATTGGGAGGATGGTGGTAAGTTGCATTTTAGATTATGAAATTGAATTGTTTTTGGTAGAGAAGAGTAGGATAAATAAATAAACAATTGAGTGGTAATTGGGTGGTTGAATAGATGAAATAATAAGGAGGAGGTGGGAATTATATACTTAAGAGGCGGCAGGCGTTTACCCTTCCCTGACGGCCGCCCTTGGCACTCGGAAACTCACGCCGATCACTTTCAGGGGAATGTGGTGAATGACCTCCCAATATTCGATACAAGAGAACTCGCTTGGTTTCTAGAAAGCTTTCGAGCCATCGAATCAATCGCTTGACGTTCATAAAGGGTTTATTGTCCGACAAGTTACCCCATGATCGTCATCGAAGTCTTTCAGCCTGACTATTTATAGTACATGGATCCACAGGGAACAGGGTTCATATCAAGGCGCCAGGTGTTTGCTTCTTGTGAAGATGATTTGAGAACAGAACAGGGCAGTAAAATTGGCTATGATGCTGGGGCAAAGTTGTGGGTAATACAAGTGCGAAGAGAGGATATATACATACTGACCGAAGTCAAAAATTGTGTGACATGCCCAAGGGATAATTGGTGGTCTTGAGGAATTGTGTGGCGTGTATTAGCTGCAGATTCGAGGCAACATGCCGTCAAGGAAATGATTATTCTGATCGATTGCCCTCGAGGGACAAAGGATTCCACCAGTTGCACAGTTGCATGTTTCACTAGGGCTTGGCAGAGCCATTGTCGGTGCCACTGGCTTCCCACTCATCCCAGCCCTCCTCTCTCATGTTTTGCTCAATGGCCAGACGACGGCGTTTCTTCTTTCGACGCTCTTTGTTATAATCACGTCGCTGCTCGTCCGACATGCTCAGCCGACGAACCGCTGGCGGTACAGGGTGCCAACCGGCTTTCTCGTTCGCTTCTTTTTCCCTCTGTTTCTGCTGTAGCTCCTCATCTAGCTTCTTCACATCGTCCCGAATGAGAGGGTGATATTGCAGTCGCATCGCAAACTCGTCCACAGACCCCGCACAGATCTCACGGATTTCCGCCTGCGTTTCAGGGCTGAGACTGGCGTCCCGCTTGATCAGGTCCTGGAAGTACATGAAACCGGACCGGAAATTCCCTGCATCCAAACACATCAGGATGATAGACTCGAATGTAACACCGTTCGGTACCACTCCAAGTGATGCCATCTCTTTCACCAGGAACATGCCCGATTCGCGGTTGCGGGCCGTTCGGCACATCCGAATTAGCGCGTTGTAAACTCGGACGTCGGCGCCTTCCGGGCATAATGTATAAAGCTCTTTGTAGAACCCAACACCGTCGTCCACCACAGATGGATCATCATGGGCATCATGTTCACAGAGATCCGCGATGACACGTACAGAGCCGATGGGAATGGTTCGTTTCGCATTCTTCAACCGCTTGAGAATCTGCCACGCCTCCCGACGATCAACTTTACTCTGTATCATATGTGCAAGAACACGCTCCGTCGAGCTATCTGTTAGGGGAATATGAGCTTCGTGCATGGTGCAAAGCGCTTCGAACGCAGCAGGCAGATTGCCCGCTGTCACGTGCGTCTCGACAAGTCTTTCATACTGTGTGCGCTCGAGCGGGATCCCACTCTCACCGAGGTAACGGAACACAGAGCTCGCCATCTCCGTATCACCAGCATTTGCAGCCATTTTCAATACGTCATCGCAGACTTCAATGAGCGGATGCATGTAGCCCAGCTCTACCATCCGTCGCCACACGTAGTGTGCCATGGGGTAATGGCCGTGCTTCCCTGCCTCGGTCAACACGTGCATCCAAAGCCGATGGGTCATGTCGTGGCCCTGGTCGACGCGCGCACGCATCACATCGTACACTTCATCCAGCTCTCCGTGGTCGCAAAGCGTGTAGACAATTATACTGTGTAGCCAGTTTTCCACAAATATATCCTTGCGCTGCATCAATGCAACGTGCTCGAGCGCGAGCTCGATCTGGTTCTCGCGGAGAAGACCAGCCGCCACAAAATGCCATCCGGCTGGGCTCAGCGTGAGCCATCGGTCGCGGAGCTTGTTGAGGATTTCTTGTCGTAGGAGGTAGTCCGGATGTACAGCTAGGACCTGTATTGGAATTGCATCGTTAGTTTCGCTGCATATGTAGCTCGCTTCAACCAGATAACCTACCTGCAATGCACCGTGGAGTGTCCCAGAGTCTGCGGTGATGCCATTATTCTCCATTTCCTCCAGCAGACCTCGCACAAGCTCCGGCGAGCCCCTCTCATTATCGGTATTTGCAAGAATCAGCGCCTTGTAGTGGCGAGCATTCGGCTTGACATGGCGGTCCCGAATGAGAAGTCGTAGGATCTGCGTTATGTGTCGAATGTTCGGCTTGTTGTCCATTGCATATTGTAATCGCGACTCGAGCCCTTCGTTCGTTTTACCTAGAAGGTCGTCTTGCACCTTATGTGTTCGTGTGTATAGCGGGCTCTTTCGTCGTGGATGTGGCCTGGCGTATGTTGGATCTGGAGATAGGCGAGTGTCACGGAATTCATTCTCACGTGGCTCCCGTGTTTCGCTCCAATCATTATGATGTGCTGCATTATATGAGAATTTGGAATCATCGCCGCCTGAGGTGTTGTAGCATCGGCGCGAACCTGAGCTCGGGCTAGGAATCGAAGGTAGTGGGTATAGCGGGTTTCGACCCTTGGATTTGGGGAATGCCGTTGAACGACTGAGACTCAGAGCTGTAAATGACGGACAAAGCGAGTACCACAGCCCATCGAGGACCAACGCCCGCCGCGACATATCCGCTTGTGGCTAACTGATCGGAAGCTTAGCCTCCGCGGATTTGATCTGGAGTTTGATATCACGTGACATCCTCGAATATTCGCTTCTTGGATTGCGCGGGATTTACAATGAAATAGGTAAGTCAGGTTTGGGTTTTTGGAACATAAAATTTAGAGGTAGTTGTAAATCGACCAAGTGACCCAGATGCCGTGAAAATACAGAGCCAGATACGCCACGGCCATGCTCGATCAAACCGTTCCACCAGACCTTTCGAGCGACCTCACCACCGTCTCCTCCGGGGGTATCTCGTTTGC